GATGCTCCTGGGCGCAATGGTCGCAGCTGAGGGTGCCACATGAGTCGACATCGAAATCAATGTAACCTCGTTGGTTAGTATCCGGTCACAGGACGTATGGACAGGTAGACGCGGCTGGAATGCAAGAAGATGAATGCAAGAACTGTGTCTGAAGAATTGCGATCAAGACGCGGCTGGACAGAAACTGGAGAATCTATCCAAAGGGGTATGGTTTGGGAGCAGACCGTGTACAGGAAAGGCTTCCTGCCATGTTGGATGCTAGCTGCTAGCGCGGTCAAGGCTCCCAGACTGGCTATACCCCTCGCAAGCAGCAACGAACACCAATGACCCATCCTGGGGATTGCGAAGCAGATGCTGCTAGCGCGGCTCTAGCCCCCTACCGTCCAGGCACGGCAGCCAGGGTAACTGTCATTCCTGTCACACAGGTTGGAGTTCAAGGCTCCCAGACTGGCTATACCCCTCGCAAGCAGCAACGAACTCACCAGGATGAGTGTCCAAGTCGGTTCAAGCTGTGGGGCCTGCCCAGTTGTATGCTAGCGCAGCTCCAGCGCCCTACTGTCTGAAAAATTGTGATGCAGACGCGGCTGGACAGAAACCGTTGAATCTATCCGAAAAGGGTATGGTTTGGGAAAGGGCCAGGTCGAGCAGGAGGGAAGGATGAGGTCCAGCACGAGGGTGTGCAGGTCCAAAAGAAGGGTAGCCATCTCCAAAAGAATTGTAGTAAGGTCCAGCAAAAGTGTCCAGGTCCAAAAGAAATGTAATGAGGTCCCAAAAAAGTGTTTCCTTTTTTCAGCACGCAAGACAATCTTTTCCCGTACTTCGTCCGTTATACGGTCTTGTGTCGACCACTACTTCCCAGGTAATGTCGGGTGACATCATCTTGAGCGCCAATGGAGTGCAGGCATTTGTGAGTCACCTCGGGGACAACCTGTCGGTTTAACATCCAGCATCAGCCATTTTGGAGGAATCACATACCAATCTATTATATGGGCTAGGACGGCTAGGATAGACATGTGAGACAGTGCCGAAATACCAGGGAACGCCATCCAGGCATTGCAGGCCCATTTTTTGAGGGGAAAACCATTCGTTTGTTGGGGCCCCTTGTATGACTTCAAATTCGAAACACGGGTCCCATGGGTTGATATTCGTTCAACCCTTCGTTGGGACTCATCCGCCAGGGCGATATCAAGGCAATGTCCACCCTGCTCAGGACGGGGAACAAAATGGTTGAGATTTGGTGGAAAACCCAGTTATGTTATATATATAATAGAGATATTCCACCAAATATAATATATGCTAGAATATATATATATATGTTGGATATTTATATTTGGTGAATGGCTGATATTGGTTGATGTGGATTGATTTGTTTAGAATTGGTGAGCAATTGAAACCCAGTGGTTGATATGGGTTGATCATTGACTTTCGGATTCAATGAAGGCCATAAGATGAGGGGTTTAGCATTTCCGGACAATCACACGTGGGTCCCACAATTGGATGGGCAAATTTATAGGAACCCCTGCAACTGGTGAAAACCCAAAGTTTCCGATTTTCCCTGAAATTAAGATGATATGGAAGATGGATTATTATTCTAATGGATCGTTATTGGCAAATATTATTAATGTGGGTAAAACAATAACAATAATAAACCACCCATTTGCGAATGGTTTATACCACCTATTTATGGTGATTTCGGGGATGGCTTATTATTGTTTTGCCCACACCAATGTTCCCAATGAGAATCCATCGACTCAATCTCCTAATGTCTTCCTGGCCAGGACTGCGCAAGACATCGTGCACATTACCGTGCCCCTTTGTAGATTGGAGCTGTGGCTGACCCACCCCAATTCAGTCTCCCGAACCACTTGAGCTTGCCCGAAAATTTGCCATTTGGCAAATCTCCAGGTGCTGCGCAAGTCGAACCAAAGCAATCCGCAGGCGCAGGGTGACCTGTGCAGTCATCATTGGGCGCTGAAAATGTGCAAGAGAAACGATCCAAACAAAAAAGGGATTTAAAGCATTTTAAAGCAACAAAAGAGATGTCCGTCAGAACTTGGCAGAGACAGTCTGCTTGATGCCAAAATGAATCACAAAATAGCTTGCTCTCAAAGTTCCTTTCAATATATATATATATATATGTGTATGCATGTATGTATATATATAAATATGTGTGTGTAGACATACATATGCATATATACATATACACATGCGATTTGTAATGTAAATTAATCAAATCTAATTCAGGTGCGTATATACACACATATATATACATACATATATATATACATGTATATATATACACATACATATACATATAAATATACACATATATACATATATATATACATATCTATACATATCTATATATACATGCATACATATAAAAAAATAATTACATATATATATGTATGAATATATATATGTATACTTATATTTATACATATATATATATACACATATATATATACATACATATATATACACATATATACATATATACATATATATATATATACATATACATACATGCATACATGCATACATGCATACATACATACATACATACATGTATACATATATACACATATACATATATACATACATACATGCATGCATGCATACATACATACATACATATACATACATATGTACATATACATACATATGTACACATACATACATATGTACATATACCTACATATGTACATATACATACATATGTACATTTACATACACATGTACATATGTACATATGTACATATGTACATATACATACATATACATACATACATACATATACATACATACACATACATACATGCATACATACATACATACACACACATACATACATACATACACATACATATATACATACACATACATATATACATATACATACATATACATACATATACATACATATACATATGTACATATATTACATATATATATACACATACATATACATACATATACATATATACATATATTACATATATATATATACACATACATATACATACATATACATATATACATATATTACATATATATATATATACACATACATATACATACATATACATATATACATATATTACATATATATACACATACATATACATACATATACATATATACATATATTACATATATATATATACACATACATATACATACATATACATACATATACATATGTACATATATTACATATATATATATACACATACATATACATACATATACATACATATACATATATACATATATTACATATATATATACACATACATATACATACATATACATATATACATATATTACATATATATATGCACATACATATACATACATATACATATATACATATATTACATATATATATACACATACATATACATACATATACATACATACATATATTACATATATATACACATACATATACATACATATACATATATACATATATTACATATATATATACACATACATATACATACATATACATATATACATATATTACATATATATATATACACATACATATACATACATTTACATATATACATATATTACATATATATATACACATACATATACATACATATACATATATACATATATTACATATATATACACATACATATACATACATATACATATATACATATATTACATATATATATATATACACATACTTATACATACATATACATATGTACATATATTACATATATATACACATACATATACATACATATACATATATACATATATTACATATATATATATATATACACATACATATACATACATATACATATATACATATATTACATATATATACACATACATATACATACATATACATATATACATATATTACATATATATATATACACATACATATACATACATATACATATATACATATATTACATATATATGTTCATTTCTTGAGACTTATCTATTTGCCTGTTTACTCATGTGTTTTTTCAGGTGCCGCCAGTTCCACCAGCTCCAGCGATTGCCGGTGTACCCCGGGAGGTGAACGGCCATGGGTCTTCAAAGGGTACCAGCGATATTATGGGTATATTAATGAAACATATATAGAAATATCTTGGTTTAGAACGGTACATAGTTGGTATATCATGTGATAGAATGGGATATAGTTGGTATATCATGGTTTAGAATGGTACATAGTTGGTATATAATGGGATATAGTGGGATATATAACCAGCAATATGTTATTTAGGTCTGAAAGTGGGGTTCCTTCTGAAAAAATCCACCGGTGAATCATCAGGTTTCCTGTTTTAATCCTCCATTTTCAGACAAAGCCCGTTCTTTTTTGTTTGTGGATGAGGATAATCCAAACTAACATGATTATGATTTGTTTGTTTGTAGATGAAGAGTCTTATTCTTTAATTTTGAAATGTTCGACATTTTTTGTCCATGAATCTATCTCGAACGTGGGGATTTAGACCAGAGAAATCGGGAACAGCTTTGGCCATGAGATGTGATGATTATTAACCAATCCCAATATGAAGGAACATGGGTTTTAAGATCTCGGGGTAGATCATTGATGTAAAATGGTGGGTTTTATCCGGAAAGAATGATGCTATCAAATAGCATCAAATAGCAAAGGAAAAATGGGATGGGTGTCGGCCACAATTTAAGACCCCCAGGTCCACAGATGATTTTTTTAAGGATCAACCATTCCGTCTTGGGGTACCTGATGAATTGACCAATACCCACTTGGAGGATTTCTAAGTAAACCTACCAACTAGGTCGGTTTGGTCGAGCTTACTTTTGGCCAAATATGTGGCTTGCAATCTCAGACATGTCCCAGTAAATATCATGTTTTTAAGAGGCATCTAAGGTTAGCCACAACAAAATTACCTGACATGAGCAGCAGTGATGTTAAGCACTGTTCATGTGATGGCAGCCATGGCAGCGCGGCCACCAATGCATCGATGGCTCAAGGGGTGCACGGGAATTTCACCGTCCATGTTTGACCCATGGCCGCCAAGGGCAGTGGGCAAATGTTCAAGCAGAACACAGGACGCTGTGACGCTGTGACGCTGTGATGGTGAAAATTCGGGTGATTCGAAGTGATTTGGGAATTTTTGGATTAGGATTGGAATCCAATTAGTGGTGGTTTTAGGGATTAGAAACATACAAGATGATCAAGATGGGAAGCCTTCTCCACCTAACCGGTTTGGGTTGCTGTGTCACCAGGAGACGGACTTCATGGCGCCTTGGCCATGATCGAAAAAGTCATGCACCTCGAAAACTACGACGCCTGACCGAAGGATGGCGGTGAAACTGGGCAGTTTTCCACCAGTTTCATGGCGGTTTCATCCGATTGGAGCTCATTTTTAGGATGAAATGATGAGTGACCCATAGTGACCCGACCGTTTTTTTGAATCTCCAGAGGCCAGCAGCTCACACTGCGATGTTGACCCAACTTGCAAAAAGAAGCAGGGCAAATCTGGCAGGAAGTATACTGTATAGTTGCAGAGTTTTACTAGTGGGACTGGGTTTCTGGCCCCTTCAAGAACTTTTTCAGATCTCGATTTCCAGTTCGAAATGCCACATTTTTACAGCTTTTTAACGTTCTTCCCAGGGACGTTATGCACCACTACTTGGATGTGCCTTGGAGCAGCCTTGGGCGAACACGAGTTGGATTTCTGTACTGATGTCGACCCCGGAAAATTTGTTAAAATGCTACCCCTGCAATTGAAGAGCCTAGGACATTGATGCATTTTTCGATTCATGGTACAACTGGGTAAACCATGGTAAACCAACCATACTTCTGAGCCAACTGGGCTGCTGAGGCACTTGCTTCGTGACAAGTCTCTGTGTGGCAATTTCAAGCGGAACACACTGGATGGCGAATCTGGGTGCAGAATTTGAGACACATTTTCTGGTTGAAGCCATCCGACAAAAATTTGGGGAAACCGACCCCATGAGGTTTTTGTGGCGCAGCAATGTTGGAACACTGTCTGATGGGGTCTGAAAATAGGGTAGCCCGATTTATCCATTGGATGATCATCAGCTTTGGGGAGGCATACCATATTTTCAAATACAGCCAGAAAATGTCAATTTGGTTGTTGAAAAATATCACCACTATATCCCCTTAAAATTTCATTACCCTCCAGTAAATTAACACAGACCCTGGCAGACAGGGGTTGAAAGACTAGTTTCCACTAAAAATTGGGTGTTTTCAGGGTCTATGTTAATCTACCAGAGGGTAGTTCATTCCTTAATAAACCATGTATAGTACAGGATGATTCAATCCCACCCCCTCTCCTCTTTGTCCCCAAAAAGCTGTCGAACACCGTGTTTTTTTCCACATCGAATGCCATGAATTCATCTCCAGTAAACTAACAGTTTGCTATTGAAAATGGCCATAGAAAATTTCTTTGTGGTGCAAAGTGCCCCTAGGTGTCTTGTGATATTGCTCTTCGTGATCAACGCTTTCATGTTGATCCTGTCCATGAGGCGACTTTTCTGTGCACTTGGGGTTCGACATGGGGCGAGGCCCATGTCTAACCATGGTTGTAGCCTCTATGAGTTGTGAGAGAACTGATCTAACCCGGTTTCCCTCTGGTAATTTAACATGGAAAATCACCATTTATAGTGAATGTTCCCATTAAAAATGGTGATTTTCCATAGTTCTGTTAGTTTACCAGAGGGTATATACTCATGTATAACCAATTCACAGAAGTGAATGGGTAAGTCTATTTGCTGAGTAAGTCTAGCCCAGATATCGGGTAGAACCGCAGCTGAGTTGGTGCAGCAAGAAAAGCAGATCCTGGAGGTAAGAAAAGACTGAAATCGACAGGAATTGGTTCTACCCCCATTTGATGGTTCTGCCCCCAGTGCTTGTCCCATGAAGTCTTCCAGTATCTTCCAGTGATGTTTGTGAACCACGGGAACAACTTATTGAACTGATCTTGATGATTGTGTTATGCTTGGTAAAAATCCCACAACATACGCCATCTTCTTGCACTGTCAGGCAAGTGGCTGCGCGGCCGTGCCCGGATCCAGAAGCTCCCGAGGCTTCGGGATGCCAGCAAGGATGATTCTTTTGACCAGCAAAAATAGCACTTTTGGAGCCGAAAGTGCCCTTTGGACCAGCCGAAACTGCGATTTTGTAGGCAATGCATTCTCAATAATCAATCGACAACTGCGATTTTAATATCAACAAGCTGATTGTACCGAGAAACAGTGCATCTCATGTCAACAAATATAGATTTGATCAGAGATATAGGCACGTGGAGCAAAGTTTTCACAACAACATAGCAGGTGTAGCTAAATGATTCAAGTGTCCCCAATCATGCGACAACTTTTGTTACGAAAACCCGATTTCTGGTTGAAATAGCACTTGTGGCATCAGGCTGTAGAAGATTCGACGGAGAGGCCACAGTTTTGTCGCGGGGGCGACTCTGAAGTGAAAATGTGGGGAACGAGAAATATTAAATATAAGATATGGATTACCCTTTATCATCTTTGATATATCTATATCCTTTCAGTGATTTTTTTCCACATCCGACTGTTTTTTTTATGTTTCACGACTCTGCCAAGCGACTCGGCTGCCTCTCCTGGCAGGCTGGAAGGATGCATGCGCGTATTGCGGAAACAACTGTCAGATGATCTAAAGCAAGGAGTAACCAATGATCAGGTGCCGATGAGCAAAAAACAGAAGTTGAACCATGGTGCGTTTCCAGAGGACATGGGAAGTGTTTGAGTTTGGGGGAACTTATAAAACAGATAGATATTATATATATATACACATATGGATAAAACATGATAAACCCCACTTGTATATGGGTCGCAAACCATGTGCTAACTGGCCCACTCCCAACCACAAAGAATGTGCATCCCAGATAGCGGGGAAAAACAATACCAAGCATAGTTCGGGTCGGTTCAACAACTTACATACCTACCTGCATACATACCTACCTGCCTGCCTACCCACCTACCTACGTAGACATGCATAGACATACAAGACATAGACATACATAGACATACAAGACATAGACATACATAGACATACATAGACATAGATAGTCATAGACATACATGACATGCATGACATACATGACATACATGACATCCATGACATACATGACATACATAGACATAGACATAGACAGACACGGACATACAAAAACATACGTAGACTAACATACACATAGACATAGATATAGACAGACACATAGACATAGACATATACCGAGACATAAACATAGACATGTACACATAACTTCTTGTCCGTCACAGGTATATCCACAACTTCATCACTCAGTTGCCTCAGGTCTTTGCTCTCCTTTGTGCGTGCTATTGCCTACGCCAAGCACGATCTACTTGGGGCACGAATCCGGATGGAACTTGGGGCGTCTTCCTGGAACGTTTGCAACACATTCTGGTGCCCTGTCAACGTCAACTTTTTGGGATGGGAAGCCCATGGAAGCCCCAAACAAAGATGTTGGTTACAACCGTTGCAACGCATGGAATCCTTGATTTTTTTGGGAGTAAAAACAGAAGCAATGGTTTCATTTTTTAAATAGAGGTTCCTTCAAATCGTTGGGGAAAAAAACAATGACCTCAACCATGACCGCATGACCCAGATGATATTTTAGTTTGTTTGAAGATAGGCTACAGCAAAATCCAATGGTCAAATGGTCATGGTTTTCTGCTCAAATTGGCTATAAATGGATGAATTTGATGGTCCAAATTATTTCGGGACACACCCAAATAACCATTTTGTTGCTGATATGTCCCCCCAAAAAATCCTCATAAACTGCTTGGTTTCATCCCTATTTTGTTGCTTACCAACCATGGTTTTCCATCAAATCATCCATAGTTTTCCCAAATCCATCACCAGTTTTGCATGTGAAATCATTGTTTTTGGCACACATTCCATAGAGTTATGGATTTTTAGTGTGGCGCTTTCCGAAGTTCAAAATCGACCTCGAGGTGGCCAAGAAGAAGACTTCCCTTCGCATAGTGTCGTTCACCGAGTGGTGCGAAGTGAGTCCCTTGGCGACAGAAATTTTCGCGTGGCGAAGCATCAAAGATATTAATGAAAGATACATATTTACCCATAAATGGATGCTTCATCAGTTAATGGATATTTTATCATTCTTAAAACATTATTTAGCTTTTCTTAAAGCACATCATTTCTTGGTTACGGAAAATGGATGGGCAGGGCACCAACAGATTTGGTGCTCAGCACATGGGGATCACAATGGGTGATCAGCTGGATCAATTTATTGAAACTGGATGGGTATGAAGCGCTATGAAACAGCTACTTATTTTGATTGGGATTTCATTATAGCATATTATAGCTTTCTCATGCATCCGTTTCATAGGACATCATAGATTGGGATTTGATTATAGCTTTCTCATGCATCCGTTTCATAGGACTACCAACTGTGTCCCATGAGATAGGAGTATTTTGATGTATTTTTAATGGCTCAAAGAATGATCAGATCGAGACAGGAAATAGATGGAAATAGGATCCTTAGTTAGAAAACAGATGTAAATGAGGCTTTTTCATTAAAACGCTGATGGTGACCCTCCAGGATTTTCCTTGGGAAAATCCTTGGCATTTTCGAGGGATTTCCCATCGTTTGAAACCTCGATTTCCAGGCCGATGGTGTGGGGCTCAATCCTCCAATACTTTGCTCACGATCCTCCAATCAGCCATCGCAGTGCACAAGTCCCCAGCCCGGAAGCCCGGCGGAAGGCCATCTCCGAGAAATTCTGCTTGGAGGCTTCATAGTGTTTCAGTGTTTCATTTCATAATATGTATATATATATATATATTTATGACTTATATGGCTTTTATGACTTTTATGACTTTGAAAATTGAGATTGAACATCCAGAAATTGATTATTCATCAATGTTCATCATAATTTTACTGATATGGCCGTTTGGATCCATTTGGGGGGTATACCTTGTTCTTAGGTAAACCCAGATACTAAACATTACATTTTTTCAATTTTCCATTCCTAAATTGCAAGGATTCAATGATCTTATCTATGTTTCATACATATGCCTACATATTCCTATATACTATCCATATCTTGACTATCAATGATATCATAGTGCCTTATAGTGCCATATCGATACACAAACCACATTTTCACACGTACCTACAAAGAGACCGATTTCCCTTGTGGATTCTCAATATGCTGATGGCTTAAAGTATTCTTGTAGCATAACTGATATTTATATAGTCGAAGGAAGTTTAGAAGTGAAACTTCCGACAATATGGACAGTTGAAAAGCAGAGGTGAAAAGAGTCAGAAGAGAAAAGATCAGAAGAAAGAAGAGGTAGATGCGCGAAAAGATAGGAAAGTCGCGATTCACTGTGTTTTTCCAATGATTTGTGGCTCCGGAGGGTCGAAAAGTAGGCTCGCTAAAGCGGCGGGTGCGGAGCCAGCTGGCAGATGAGACATGAAAAAGTGCACGCCGTTGTGGCGCGAAGCACATTTCCAAGTCAAAATGGACAAAACACTAGAGGAGCGGACCACTTTTGGAAGTTGAGATGTCGAAAAAGTGCACGCCGTTGTGGCGCGAAGCACATTTTGAAGTCAAAATGTGCAAAACACACCAGGTCGGACCACTTTTGGAAGTTGAGATGTCGAAAAAGTGCACGCCGTTGCGGCGCGAAGCACATTTTGAAGTCAAAATGCAAAACACACCATGGTCGGACCACTTTTGGAAGTTCCGATGTCGAAAAAGTGCACGCCGTTGTGGCGCGAAGCACATTTCCAAGTCAAAAGTGTTAAAAACTGACGGTCTCGGACCACTTTTGGAGGTTCAGATGTCGAAAAAGTGTCGAAAAAGTGCACGCCGTTGTGGCGCGAAGCACATTTCCAAGTCAAAAGTGTAAAAAACTGAGGGTTTTGAGCCTTTTTTGACGTTAAGATGTCGAAAAAGTAGACACTGATTAAGTTAACTAACTTGACTAACTTAACTAACTTCACTAACTTAACTACCCTTACTTCGACGACAACAGCAACAGCAACAGCAACAGCAACAGCAACAGCAACAACAACAACAACAACAACAACAACACCAACCACAACAACTACAACTACAACTACAACTACAACAACTACAACTACAACTACACAACAACTACAACTACAACTACAACTAGAACTACAACTAGAACTACAACAGCAACAACAACAACAACAACTACAACTACAACTACACTACACAACAACTACAACTAGAACTACAACTACAACAACTACAGCTACAACAACAACAACAACAACGACAAAAACAACAACAACAACTACAACAACAGCAACAACAACAACTACAACTACAACAACTACAACAACAACAACAACAACTACACTACACAACAACTACAACCACACAACAACTACAGCTACAACTACAACAACAACAACTACAACTACAACAACTACAACTACAACTACAAAACAGCTACAGCTACAACTATATGACTGCAACTACACTACCCTAATTACATTACACCACAACTACAACTCCACTACGCTACAGCTACAACTACAGTTGCAGTACATCACACTACATCCAGCAGTTGTGGGTGAGGTGACCACTGCAACCATTGCAACCATCCCAGCAAACACAACTCCAACCACCTTTCGGTCAATCAGTGGATTCGCTCTGCCATCCGTGATTCACAACAACCAACGTCTCCTATAGGTTTCCTATTCTGAAACTTCCGCCACCGCCTTGTGCGGTACTACTGGTAAGATAACTACAGATATCTACAGATACAGTACCTGGTATCCTGTGGAATTATTATGTCCCGATTATGTTCCCATCTGTAGCCATAAAATGTTGGTAAATCCCACATTACATCCCCTTATATCCCAATTGATTTTCATCCATTTTGATACGTTTGTTTTTGGAAATCCCCAGTATATCCCAATTGATGGTGTTAAATCCCAATTTTCAACAATTTCGATATGTTTTTCGTGGAAATCCCCAGCTTTCGATATATGTCATATAATACATATACATATGTATGTGTATGTGTGTGTGTGTATGTGTATGTGTATGTGTATGTGTATGTATATGTATATGTATACGTGTATGTATATGTATATGTATATGGGCGGCAACGCTTTGGAGGCCCCATGGAGGGCATTGTGACTGCTATACACGTATATACTGGGTAAATTATAACCCGGGAATTCTCCCAAAATAGCCTTGTTTCAGGCTACTGAACTATGGTAATTTACTACAACAAACTACTTGCTGCCCAGGTGCCACTGCAGGTGATGCAGCTTTCCAAGGCCAAACTGTGATGTCTTTGGATGGTTTATACCCCAAAAACGATAGAAATGCAAATAATTATCACATTAGTAGGGATTTTTGTTTCTATCTTTTTTGGGATGACTATAATGATGTTTAATCCAAATAGTTTGCTTAACTGGTATAATCAAATGGTTGGTTTACTGGAAAATCTAGAGCAAACCATGGTTTCTATGGGTTTTCCTGCGGTTTCTCCCTTAGGCCAATTCTGGCATATTTTTCTGCCTCTGATTTTGGACCCATATATTTCCAAAACCAACATGAGACATGTTCTCCAGCCCTAGGTGCTGCAGTGAGCTGTCCCACTCTGTTGGGGGCCAGCACGGCCCTAAATCTTGGTGACATCAAGTCCCACGGCACGTGCCACGGCACGTGGTGATGTCGGCCTCAAAATCGGAATGGTGGAAAGGTGAAAAGAAACTGGTTGGGGATGCGATTTTATGGAGTTTGTATCAGGATGAGTTAATGTTTTGATGATTTGTGGGTGTTCTTTCCTAGTGTATCAAGGTGAGATTAGGTATGCGTCATCATCGTTGGGGAATGTTCGAAAAACACATGGAACAACTTGACCAATGGAACTTGACCAAGGGATTGGTTGTGTAACCAATTGACCAAAGGATTTCTTGAAGATTTTTGGAAATGCAACTGGTGCAACTGCTGATTTTGAGACTTTCCAACTCTTCACTGGTTTGGATGAGCAATGTGAGAGCTCCAACTTCAGCTTGCTGAAGGAATGCTTTGCCATGTGTAATGAAGGGGCAGCAGCTCGAGCGGTTTCAGTTGATGGTGTCGGTAAGTGAGTTTTAAGCCATTTCCATTCATTTACCAGATCTAGGGTCTATTTTTGACCCCAGTTGCTAGGGTCCTAATGGTCCTATAGGGAAACTTTACCACGGTGCCATTGGTGCCATCGCAACGAGACTGCTGCCACTCATCCACATCGGAGGTTGATCCATTGCGGTAAAATGTGCCGAATCATCCGCACCATGGAATTCGACGGCAACCATGGAATTACAGCGACTGCAGGCCGACCGAAGCTCACGGAAGCCATTATCGTTTGAAGCTGCACGAAATTCACCGTGACAAAAACTGAGGTCTGGACTGAATCGGCGATCGTGATCGCGTTTGCCGTATCTGAAAATTGGGCAACACGAAACACGAAATGGAAATCATTGACAGATGGTGCCATGACATGCGCTCAGTGGAAACACCATGTTCGGTTCAGTCCGAACCTCGTGGCTTTGCATTCAAGTTGAGATGCCCTCAGCATAGCGAGTGAACCGCAAAGCTGTGTGTATCTTCTCAGCAGGATGGGCTGCTGGCGTACTCTTCAGCAACACTTCGAGTTGCACCAGGTTTGTTGGCTGGCTAAATTCGAGAAATGGTGAACCTATCTGATAATTTCATAGCATCTTGATGAAAAATCGTAAGTTGCTGGTGAACAGCCCGATGATGGCAAGGGTTGATGGCAGCATCGTCAGTTGCTGAAGTAGAAATCGCACCTCAAGACCCAGCCTCAGCTGGACTGTCCTCTCTCGCCGTGGATATCTTCGCGCCGCGTGTTGCGCTTAGACGTCCCGATGCGGGGCAGGCGCAGGTGTGAACGTCTCCCCCAATGCCGATGTGTTCGCAGTGGCCCTATGATTCCAGCACAACAAGCAAAGCAGGGATTAAACCATGGGAATATCATGGGTTAGGTCACCAAGATGCTTCAAAAAGGGAGATGAACTCCAAAAAATTCCCATTTTTAAAAGAGGAAAATGATGATGAACCACTGGATTGTTTGTACACCCTTTTCTTAACTAAGATCTGGTCGAGAATGATTGATGAAATAAGATGAAATAGGAACGATCCAAGTTTCATGGAAGTCATTGAATGATGATTGAACAAATCATCAACAGTCATCATCGACATTCTTTGCATGAGAATCTTGAATTCATGTTTGGTTGTCATCACTCCTCGCAAGTGAGACGTTGGTGGATAACTACACAATGCTTTGTAGATGTGATGGCATTCCCGGACACCACCATGGTAGAATGTTATGGAAAGGGGCCGAAGTGGGCTACTGCGCACGTCGCCTTTGAAGCAGAACTGTTACTGGGGAGGTGGTCATACTATGCTTGCAAGATTGGGTGGTTCCACTGTAAAAAGGTGCGCCTGCTTCGTTGGCAGAAAACTGCTGGGATCCCGCCAAGGGGCCAAGGATCAGAGTTTTTTTGGATGACATTCACATGGATTCCGATGTTCAATGGGAGAATCATTCTGGATGGCCATCTATCACCGGCGGGTCATTTGGGATGGTTTCTGTTTTTTTTTCCATCCCCTAAATCCTAAGAAATCATCAGAAATCATCAATCCCATTCAACACCACAAACTCCATTTAAACCTCAGTAATTCCAAAGTCATTTTCATGAAATTCCCATGAAATTGCCATCTCAAGTCACCAAGACACCAAATCTCCACGTTGAGGCCTTTTTTTTCCCTGGACTGCTGCCACTCGGTCTGGCTTAAGCGCGGCGTGCGCCAGAACTAGTCACGCCGCAGCGGGAACTGCGACACAGTCCTTTGAAACTTGGAACCCCTGACTGCGGTGAAATGAATTTCCATCTTCTGACCTTCAGAAACATCAAACCACAAAAGGCGCAAATCAAGAAAAAAGATGATTCAGAAGAGATGGCAAATGTCTAGGTTCGAGCATGAAATTGGCCACATTCATGGCTAGATGGGTAAACCCGCCAATGGATGCAAAATGGACGGGCTCAAAATGAGTCGCCTCACGGCTCACATGTGCGAATGTGTCAGCTGCCTCAGCAAGCGCCTGGGTGGCGAGTTTGGCCCCTTGCAGAGCCCCCCATGCTTGCAGGCTCACTTCCGCCAGTTGCAAATTGACGAACAGCAGGCCCCCACACATGCTCAGAAGTACTGTAAGTCGGCAAAGTTGCCACAACAGCACACGGAGGCCAGCCTCACAGGGCGCAAGTGACTTGGCCTTTGGCTTCTTGCCTTTGGTCGCTTTGGACTTCGCTGTTTGGCGTTGGCTTTGCTGCGCGTTGGGTCTTTGGCACCTTGGGCCGGGGGGGGATTGCTGCCTGGTGTGTCTCGGTCTTCATCACTTGGCTGGGCAGGTACAGGCATCTGACAAAGTCGTACCTGTTTTAGGAAAAAATCGTTGTGCCTTGGGGAAGTGTGTTTCGCAAAAGTCGTGCCTTTAGCAAGAACGCATAGGAACTCTGGAGTTTGGATATGTAACCCGTTTTCTTATGAGATCACGTAGCTGATCACTATTAGCATGCAGAATTCCAGGTTGTGGGTATGTTGATTAGTTATAGGTAAGATGGCGTTGAGCTGGTGATTTGATGATTCTGGATGTTCATCCAGATTATCCTGTTTTTCCGAATGCGTAGCGAAGGGTTCCCGTTTATAGTCTGGGGGTCTGGGGGGCTGGACCCTTGTTCGCCTCGAGTGGCTCGTCGCGTCGTCGTCGGGTCGGCGTCGCGTCGTCGTCGGGTCGGCGTCGCGTCGTCGTCGCGTCATTAATTTGGCAGGCGTGGCACTTTGTCACATTCCAACCTGTTTGATAACGTGTTGAAAGTGTCAAAATTGGAGGAAGTCTCGCACGAAATGCTCGTTTTGCTGCGCCCACGTGTCTCGTCTCGAGTCTCTGGTTTTCCTGTGGCGTCGCCGTGTCTATGGGGGAAGCTGCAAAACCTCTCCTTTTCGAAGGTTTCCAAGCAGGTTGTCATGTCAGTTTGTACCTTCTGGCGAGGAGTGCTTGTTGCAGCTGTTGTTGCCGCTGCCGCTTCCACTGCCTGCTGCTTTTCTTGCAAAGCCAAAAGTTGCTTTTGTAGGAGCAGTTGCTGCTCCTGCAAATTGAGCACCAGTTCTGCAACTTGCAACTGATTGGTCCTGGTTTGCACTTGGTGTAGGCACAGTCTTGCGAGGTGGGTGTGCTGCTCTGGTTTGGCGCCGCTACCGGCCAAACACTGCATAACGTTGGCAGGGCCATTGCTTGATGCTGGCATTTGTGCTTGTGTAGCCAAGCAACCATTCATCAAAGTGTTGGCAGCACCTTGGACAGCAGCCCAAGTAGCTGACGCCACTCCTGAACACACTCCTTCGAAGGCCGAGGTGACCACTTGGCGCGGGTGAGGGAGTTCTCACGTGGGGGGTGGCGATATTGGCTGTGCCATGACGCACGGTCATTCCAGCCACCGTTTAGTATGCCTTTTAAATAGGTTATATCTATCAAGTCAACACCTTGACATGGCATGAGTCGAAACTTAGTGGGCCGACCTACTGTGCCATGCAACGCCTGGGACCTCCATGCATGTTCAGCACCATGGGCATGCACGCGCAAGTCAAGGCCTTCACGCATCAGCCAAACATCAAGCCATGGAGTGGCAAGCTGTGTGGGCTTGGCAGCTTCAAATTGGACTGGCTTATCATAGATCTGGCTCACCATGGCTTCAAGACAGGAAGAGCACAACACGGAGGACACCATGGCTAAGTCATCGACGTACCATGTGGCAGCGGCAACATGTTCAAACTTGAAACCAGGTGGGCACCAGTGTGTGGGTCTGCCACGGGTCAGCCAATCATCTTCACAAAGCCCTAAGAAAATTGAAGCGCACTGTTTGTACATGAGCCTTCCGATGGGTACGCCGGGACGCTGCTCATAGACAACAGGGCCGAATGTCACACAAGTTTGCAACAACGCAACTTCCGCAATGACAACGATGTCATCCCAACGGTGCAAGCGCTCTCCATGCGACGGACGAAAACTATTTTTGGCTAACCAATAATGCAAGCGCCAGCTGCTTTGTGGCAACCCCAAACGCACCAGAAGCACAATGGAGTTGGCGCGCAATGCACTTCAAACGACGCAAGACTTCCGTCTCTGAAGATTTCTTCAAACAGCTGTGCAGCGTTGCCAACCCAAATGCACAAAGGAGGCTTTTCTTTCTTGCACATGAAGCAACAAATCAAATATCCATGGTCATGCCTGCGGCGCTTCGTTGCAGCGCGCAAATCAACATCAACAACTGCTGAAAACAAGTCTTCGGTTTCAAAGCCGGATGCCCACAACCTGACAACTGCTTTCTAGGCTTTTGCATTAAGCTTATACATCCAGCGACAAGGGTGCGCAGATCAACTGACAATCTTGCGACAACATGCCTGACCAGCTTTTGCGCATGTCTGACCAACACTTAGTTTTTATGTTAATATACATGTAGGCAAGGCACCATCTGCGCCAGCGAGCTGGTGCACAGTAGGATTGCCAATACTGTGGGAGCTTCTCTGCATGAGCCTGGCGGTAGTTCTCCACCACGTCCGCAACATTTACAAACCGGCGCACCCAGTCGTCATTGTATTGGTTCACCATGCGTGCAAGCAGCTTCTGGTAGACCTCTGTCGGCATGGTCCAACACGACGACTTATCTGTATCTTCTGGCGTAAGAAGAGTGGCGGTCAATATCTGCTCGCCGCACACGACGTTGTGAGCGGGCCCAACAATGTAAATGATGCCACGGCTGGCCCACAATGCGAGGAAACTGCTTCAACCAACTGCGCGCTGAGGACTTGGCAAGTTTGGTTTCCAGTAGTGTCAGTCGTGCTCGCAAAGCTTCATTTGTAGCTCATCTTCCCTGCCAATATCCAACTCACCAGGTAGTTGTTAAAAAAATCAGTTGACAGTGTGCCCTTGCAAGCAGCTATATGTTTCCAAAGCTTTGTGTAGTTGGGACGGGGGGAACTAAGTGCTTGGACTGTCTTTATTGTCCAACTTGCCAACAACCAAATGAGCTTTCAACAAGCACAAGCGGATGTCACACAAACAACTACTGAAGACATGCCGTGGTATGATGGTCGCAAACCTTTATACCTTTGGCCCTGGCATACCCGCTTGGTAGTTCAAGCAACACTGACACACGCATGGGGGTCCCAGTTTCCCTGGTGTCAACATGAAGTTCCGCAAGTGGCTGAGCTGTTCATGGCTCACATGACTGTGCCCACAAACTTGCTTGACATTCATGACGGTTGATGCATGTGTTTTCCGTTTTGCCGTGTTGAGTGTGGTTGCTTGTCATGACATGGAGCAAGCCAAAGCACTTTCTCACGAACTCGGGCTAGTAACCCGTGCAATGGCAGACTGGATGTTTCCAGCTAAAGCCAAAACCAAGAGAAAGACCGTGCAGTTGTTAGCTTCTTGTCAGTGCGCGATGCGGTCCCCCATGGCAAGGTTTTATGAGCCCTTGCAGGAAATTAGGTCAGTGAAAAGAGCCGCAAGCTATGCCAGGTACGTCAAAAAAACGGTTGCTGAGTTGCCCATGATTACAGCCCTTGAGCACTGTTTTCTGCGGAATTTCCATTGGCCAGCAAATAGCGCCACGGAAACCTAGTAGAGCAAGTAAGCGTTGTGCTCGGAGACCTCCCCCACCGTTCCGATCCAGAACAGATTGATCATCTGAACAGCATTTGCTTTTGGGCTTCACATTTGTTTTGCGTCTGCGCCATGAGGCTCATCTCGGAGCCCCAGCGTTCACGGATGGATGTCCAGAAGATGTGTTTTTCCCCTGCTTAAGTAGCAAGCAAGCAAAGGCCGACACTGTTGAGCACGCAAGTCAAGTGGACCGCCTTGGCCTGTCAGGGCCAAACGGTGTTTGCAAACATGCCAGTATGTTGTGGGTACTGGCAACAACGTCTGCATTTTCTCAATCATCAAATCTACAGTCAAATCTCTACATTCCAACAAGGCGTCAAAGTTGTCAGGAAGACAAGGTCGTGAGCTACGTTCCTTTTTGCTGCGCCGTTTGCCTTCATCTTCTGGCATTGTCACAATGGCACTCACTTCCAAGAGGTTCAAGTGGTCAAAATTTTCTATATCCTTGCAAGCAAGCAGGGGATGACGTGTGATGCTGCGACCGCAGCTCGCAAGGGGGGTCCGGTCAATCACACGACGGATATCTCAAGTCACCAAGACACCAATCTGCACGTTGAGCCCTTTTTTTTCCTCCCTGGACTACCGCCACTCGTTCTGGCTTAAGCGCGGTGTGCGCCAGAACTAGTCGCGCCGCAGCGGGAACTGCGACACAGTCCTTTGAACCTTTGAACCTCTGACTGCGGTGAAATGAATTTCCATCTTCTGACCTCCAGAAACATCAAACCACAAAAGGCGCAAATCAAGAAAAAGGGTGATTCAGAAGAGATGGCAAATGTCTAGGTTCGAGCATGAAATTGGCCACATTCATGGCTAGATGGGTACATTCTCATGAAATCACCATGAAATCACCATGAAATCACCATTTTTTCCATCTTTGCAATGAACAAAAATCTCAGCTGAGTTGACTGGGCCAGGCGATGCTGGAATCTGCCGTAGGTCCCATTCCGCGGCCAGGGGAGCCCAGTTGTTTCAACTGCTTGGGAGGTTTTTTTTTCGGCATGGAAGTTCATCGGAAAAATGGAGAAATTCAGCCCAAAATGTGGGGTAAAATTGGAAATGAGATGCTGATGAAGGACTTGTGGACGAACCCAGTGAAAACTCAGAAACTCAGACCGTAAGCAAGCCACGGCTCAGTTGAATCGCAAATTGCAATTTTTTCAGAGTGGCCCCTCGAATTCGCCGGAAAAACCCAATGAACCTTCCAATTAGGATGGTTCATATACCACCCATTTCTGGTGTCAGCATTGAGCTCCCCAGGACTGCCTTCGCCGAGGGTGATGGCCTACCGAATCTGGCCTGGAGCTGAGGATGTGCATCCAGATTTAAACAACATTGGGAGCGTGAAGCAGGAATCATGTAGAGATTCCACCATGATTAAGTGGTCCAAGTTGGGTTAGTAGATCTGGGAGTTTTATGCGCGATTGATCAATCTCTGTTGCATGGGTCAGAATGGACAGACTTACAAATTTTCGTCTACGATGAAGTTATTGACTTGCTGCATTGTTTCCGACGTGGTGGAATGTTGCAATGAGATGGGACGAGTTCCACTTTCGAGTGGAGGCATGCAACTTTTCACAGCCTACACAAGATCATTAGTTGGTTTTATGGCAACTAGCCCACATCACGGGATGTTCTCTGCAGCTGTTTCTTCCTTAGACCCAGCGGCAGTCTCGTCCCTTGCTATCAAATGAATTCAACTGAATCAAAGAACCAAGAATGGCATCGCACACTCGATTTTCTGGCTAGCAAGAGTATACGGGTATCGACTTGAAATTGGAAAAGCAAATGCCCAAAATCATATATGAAGCAAACCTGAACAGCGAAAAAATCTGTTCGATATCCATAGCCGCATGGGTCAAATTTGGATACTTCAAAATGAATGGGTGCATCCCAAAAATTGCCACACACTGTAATCAAGTGAGTCTTTATTTTCATTCCAGAGCCATATGTTTCAATTGGTCCTACCCAATCCATACCCCCGCAGTTATATCCATCAAAATATCCCAAGAGAATAGGGGGTCCACTGTCCACCCACAATGTGATGCACCAGAGTTAGCTAAGTTGGTTTCAAACTGGGCCAACTGTGAGCCCAATCTGCTGGCTTGGTTCACCAAGTGGTTGCGTTGCCATGGCTCGTCGCCAGCGATGAGTGTGTTGGAGACTGTTCAAGATGCATGGCAGATGGGGAGTGAGTCCAGTCGTCCAGTCGCAGGATACCTGTTTGGAGCCCAACATATGCCAAAATGGCGTATGTGTTTGGTATTGCATTGTTTTTGTGAGGTGGTTGATCAGCAGATCATTCTTGGCACATTCCTTCTGAGGCTTTTCTGAGGCTTTTCCGTGTACCTAAAATAAATGGTTGTCATCTTGTTGCTACATTTGGCACAAATCTCCGGAGACATATTGACATATTCTTCACATGTGGCAGTAGGTTCACCATCGCCCAAGGAGACCTTGTTCCAGCAATTCCTGGCTGGATCGGACCCCTCAAGACGTCTGGCAGAGACTCAGGGGACCCAGGGGACCCAGGACCGAGGAAGGGAGACACCGAAAGATCATGAAACATCCATAGTCTAATCCATGGCTCAGAAAAACAGCCAATCATGTCCAATATCCATGTTTTTTCAAGAAAAACCGCATGTCTGAGAAGGTTAAGATGTGAAACACGGAGGTTTTTCTAGATTCCGGACGTTCACGTTTCACGAAATGCGTGTCGCCCTGTTTTTGGGCCAAGACTCGCAGGAGCAACAAAGCACGCGTGTGGAAGATCTACCATGGTGGAAGTACCAACGGGTGCAATGGGATGAGTTAACCAGTGGGAGACCTGGAGGAAATGTGGATTTCACCTATTGAAAAACAAAAATCATGAGTGTTACCAACAAATCAATCAACCCAGGAAAAAACGGGGCTTCATTACATGTGGTTTCTCATCATTTTCCCGATTGCCATCACGGGGGTGGCCCTGACCACGTCCAGGCGCTGGCCTTGTGGTATTGCGAGTGGTTGGATACCTACTACGACAGAGCCTTGACGCAACCGGTGATCCGTTGTAGGCCCTGAGGATTTTGTATGGGAAGTTTATGGTGACTTCATGGTGATTTATTTTTTGATTTTATGGTGATTTAATGACTAGATGTTTCAAGACAGGGAGGTCTAGTTTGGGCCTTGAACTTGTTGAAGATGTTTACTAACCACCAAGAAGTTTTTGTGATAGTCATTCATCACGATTTTCTTACGTTGCTAAGTGCCTAATGTCGTATTCTGTTGGGGTCATCCCACTTTTTTGGTTGATCAACTTGAATCATATCCCCTATGTTTGGGTTGAACTAACTACCGCCAATTCTTGTAGCTTAAGATCGACATTGCTGATGGTTGAAAATGTTGAGACTTTTGACACCATATAAATTGATTGGGTAAACTTCGTTTCCTCCTCATTTTGATCACGCCATTTTTCTGGTTACGGCGCCACGGAAAGTCCCGGCGAGGCGGCGAGCGGCGCTTTTTGTGGCGTGATGAGCTCACCCAGGCGAGACGCTGGGAACTGGAATCATCCAGTGATCGAAAAGGTGTGTGTAAAACAATGCCATAAACCATCCCCAAAATCATCATGGATGGTATAAACCATCAAAAATGGAGTGGCTTATGATTATTTTACCCACAGTACTAAGATCATTTAGATGAATACCATTCCATCATTGTAGCGAATCATCAAATGGAATCATCATTGTATTCTACACAGGTGGAATCATCATCCAATGGCCGTGTTTGAGAAGAGCTATTTTCAGGTCGGTGTATTTTGATTCGGTCAGAATTATGATGATCTTCAATGATCCTGATGGTAACTATTTTTATTATTCATAATGATGCTTTGAGGTCTGCCCCCGCCCACTAACAGTTCAAAACTGCCCCCCCTTCATAAACCACATACCAAAAAAGCACAATCATATTGGTGGTAACTCAGGCCATTTTAGGGGATCCTTAGGGTCTGCTTAGGAGAAGATGTGATCTAGGTGGGCCGTACAAGTAACAAAGGGTGGAGTAGTGAATGCAACAACATCACTACCTTTGAGGTGGCATTGTTTGTGGTTAAACAATTTAAATCATTTTAACGAACATCCTTTTGTATTGCGCCATATTGTTGGAGCCATCAGGACATGTTTGCTGAACTTGTCATCAACTAGCCAAAAAATCAAAGTATCGATGTTGCTGTTGATATCCTTTGATGGTTGGAACGTTGATCATTTTGTTTATCTGAATATATATTTGTGTGTCAAATAGCAATGGCAATGATATGGTATGATGATGCAAGGTGTTGCATCGATATGATGATACGATATTATGACTCATGACATTCTTTACAATATTGAATGCAGCATACCTGAGATACCGAGATACTGCAATCAAACGGTCCAACCATTGTAAGTTATAAGTGAAAAGCGTTACAAAGGCGTGCCTCCAACAATAGTTGTTGAGGTTCTTAATAAACACCATATGATAATTACATCTTTTTCACATTCCCGCTCCTGGCATGGGCTCACTCTTGAGAGTTTTTTTTTTGGAAAGGAGGTTGGAAAAAAGGAAATGGTGTGAGACATTCGCCGGGCCGCTGGTCCGTAGGCTGCCGAGGCCAGGTGGCCTGAGATTCATTTTTTCCAAAGAAATTGTGCTTTTTTGGTGCTTTTTTGGTGCTTTTTTTCGTGCTTTCTTTGTGCTTTTTTGTGTTTTTTTTGTGCTTTTCCGGCGCTCCCGAGCACAAAAAAAGCACAAAAAAACCACAATTCATACCACAAAAAAAAGCACAAAAAAAACACAATTCATACCACAAAAAAAAGCACAAACAAAAACAACAATTCATACCACAAAAAAAAGCACAAAAAAACAACAATTCATACCACAAAAAAAAGCACAAAAAAAAGCACAATTCATACCACAAAAAAAAGCACAAAAAAACACAATTCATAGCACAAAAAAAAGCACAAAAAAAACAACAATTCATACCACAAAAAAAAGCACAAAAAAAAACACAAATCATGCGCGTTTCCAGCCCGTTCGTCCTTGAAATTGCGAAGGGAAACTATTATCTAATTTGTTTTCAATTGCCAGAAAGCACAGAAAAAAGCACAAAAAAAACAAAATTCATACCACAAAATAAAGCACAAAAAAACACAATTCATAGCACAAAAAAAAGCACAAAAAAAACAACAATTCATACCACAAAAAAAGCACAAAAAAACCACAATTTAACCACAAAAAAAAAGCACAAAAAAAGCCACAATTCATACCACAAAAAAAAGCACAAAAAAAACACAATTCATACCACAAAAAAAGCACAAAAAAAACAACAATTCATACCACAAAAAAAAGCACAAAAAAAAACAAAGTCATTTTCCTTTTTTTCCTGCGCCAGTTTCTGCTTTTTTTTTGTGTCGCTGCTTTTAAAGCATTTTCAATTGGCCAGCCCGGCCCAGCTCCAGCCCCCCCTTCAGCCAGCCAGCCCGCCACGCCTCTAGTCCCCCAGCGTTCCCCAGCCCCCAGGCTCAGCCCCCAGGCTCAGCCCCCAGGCCTTGCCCAGGGTCAGTCCAGCAGCCCCGGCCTTTATATGTATTGTACACACACATTCTATTGTTTTGCTATCGGCGCTGCGATGGGCAACATTCTAAACCCTAACAGCATTACTTTGCCATCGGCATTGTGGTGGGCAGCATCCTAAACCCTAACCAGTGTTGCTTTGCCATCAGCGCTGCAATGGGCAGCATCCGAAACCCTAAGCAGTATTGCTTTGCCATCATCGCTGCAATGGGCAGCATCCAAAACCCTAAACAATATTGCTTTGCAATCAGCAGCATCACTACCCACAAGGTGCTGACAAGCTGGATGCATGAGGCATCCCATTGGAAATGCCAATGTCGAATTTTGACAGCAAGGACTTCTGGGCATGGCAAGAAAATGTGCCGACCGTGGAGCCAACTTGCAGGGAATATGCCTGGTCATCTAGCCTTAATAAGGGGAAATGAAAGTCATATTGGGGACTACAACCTGATTTTTTTTGTGCTTTTTTTTGTGGTATGAATTGTGGTCACTGTTAGTGTCGCGAGGCAGAGCCCAAATGATGCTGATAAGGGTGACACAGATAGCAACAATGGTACCTGGTTATGATTATGATGGCCAAAAGGATCCTAGTGGTAAATGGTTTTGATTATGAATAGTGATGATAACACTGACAATGATGATGATCATACTACTTTTTATCCATAGTAATCATGATGATGGCAATCATCGTAGTATCTACCATGCAACAAACATATAACTCTCTTCCCGCCATCAAGCAGACAGCCTGATGGGTTTCAATGGTTAAATCACCGTTGAGTAGTACCTTTTTTGATGGATTTTAGTCCCTGGTCAAATCCTGTTTTTTTTTTTAAATCCCGCGTTGTCAATATCCTTGCATGAAACATCATTCAATCACTATATTTCATGGATAAAATAGATCAACCCCCATGATAATCCCACTAAATTTCCCATTAAGCCAATCTATTCCCAGTAAATGTTCAAAAACCTGATATTCCCATTCCGATCTTTCATGATCTTCCCACTAGATCAGCATTTTCCCAGCATTTTCCACATTTGTTGCTTCAATCCCCATTTAGTCGCCATGAACTTCCCAGGGCTTCGACGCCGCCGACCTCACCGAAGTGAAGGACTTGGCTATGCGCATGCGATTGGAGCTGCCACCGGGTGCGAATTCACTGCAGGATTTGGGTCATAACCATGGATAGTGATATGATATATCCGGTGATAGTGTTTGCATATGGTGAATATATGTTATAACTTAAAACCACGGGATAGTAATTATTACTGTGGATGGTTGCGAAATCCTGCACCAGTTGATAGGAGGTTGATCTCATTATTTATAGGCTTTCAACCATCCAAGGTGGTGTAAGATTTGTTTCACCCACCGTATGGATATGATATTCATCAACCATAATTGCATGTTATAATTCCCCACATAGTGATCTAATCTTTTGCTGGGAATCCGCCGCGCTCCTCCGACCGCCCGCCGACTGCCGTCTTCTTCTTCTCTCTATCAACTTGTCTCTTCTTGTCTCTCTCACCACTTCTCTTTCTCACTTGTCTGTCTCGCGTGGCAGGCGCGGCACTTGGTTACTCTCTGTCAAGCCTCTGGACGCTTGACGCCGCGGCTGCTTCACATGGCAGGCGCGGCACTTGGTTACTCTCTGTAGAGGCTCTGGCCGCTGGACGCCGCGGCTGTCGCGTGGCAAGCGCGGCCCTTGGTGAGTGTCTGTCGAGGCTGTGGCTGCTGGATGGCGCGCAGAATGTGTTCGCGCCTGGTTTGACAGGGTTGGGCCGGGCGACCTTGCGGCTGCTGGGATGCGCCGGCTGTGACAATGTTAGCAAACCGGCGATGAAGAGGTTGGCTGGCATCGGGCGTGAAGCTGTTCCGGCCCCGATGGAAACGATCCTTCATCGCAGTCATTGGAAGGCCACAGTCGAAGACATCATCATGGTGCACTGCTTTTTGAATGACCCGGACCTAGATATTATCGATGCTTTGATTACCACGGGTTCGGTTTCCTGTGAGTACGGGGTCTATTATGACACGCCCGAAGCGAAGAACCGATCTCGTTGCTGCATTTCAGTGTGCACGGAATAATCGGCGGTGTCTTGATGGTGATCATGCATCCTGACACGTCGTGAGTTTGTATCTGCCGCCTTTTGGTGTTCGAAAGGCACGAATCCGTTTGACGAGCGCAGAACATGAATGTGCGGTTCCGTTTGACGAGCACAGAAGATTAACGCGTGGCATCATTAATGCAGAGCCCTCAGACGGATCCGAAGGAAAAAAATGCTCCGAGTGCATCTTTTGTGATTATCCAACTCATCGCATGCGGTGCCACCAATGAGTTTTGTCATGTCCCCATATGTTCACCGCGCTCAGGCACGAACTGAAGATGCTGTGAATGAGCGGAAAAAAGAGAAGCCACGTGGTGAGCGGGTCTGCTGGGAGAGGGATGACACAAGTTTAGGGCATCGATGCTGAAGGTGCTCACAAAGAATCATGTATATTGGAACATCTTGTCCATTCGAAGACGATGTCGCGGTTTTGTCTCAAAGATTTAGATTGATCGAGAAAACGTGTGTGTGTGTGTGCCTTGTCTTGTGACAGATGTGTTGGCCGTTACATGTTAAGCATGCCAGCACGTGAGTCGCATGAGGCCCGGTCTGAGCCCCGAGGTGATGTTTGCTTGTTTTCGGTGGGACATATGGTTCAATAAATGGGCAACATGGTCCCAGAATAGGCCCAGAGAGGTCTTCTATGGGGTCTCCGCCATGTCTGAAGCAGTTGGAACTCGGAAGCGTGTCCGAACTGTGCCCAAACCGTGTCTGAACCATGTCTGAACCGTGTCCGAATCGTGTCCATCTGTTGTCTTCTTTGTCTCTCTGTCTATCTAATCACTCTTTCATTCTCTAGAAATCTGTTCAGCCGTATACTTTCAAACCGACGTATTTCCGATTGCCGTTTTCTCCGTCCGATCATTATCTTCCTTCATCATTCCAATACATACCTTGATTCAGAACAATCGGAAGGCTTAACATGTGGGGTTACCTGGTCCTTTAATTGTGGAATTATATTATGTTATTCATCAAGTCATGCATGAATCCTGAATTATTATGGATGGGTATAAATTATCATAAATGCAGCAACTATTTCAACATGGGCCATATAAAGTGGGATTATTTCAACATGAGATTGTGGATGAATCAAGTATAGAAATTAAGAGTTTCATTGTGAATGAACCAATGTTCCAATAATATGCAATTCATTAATTATTTGGATTTAGATAAAACAGGAGGGGCCCCCCGTTCGATAGCGAAGCTAAGGTGCCGCAGAAAAGTGGCTGAATTAATGATGGTTTATGGTTGTAACCAACGGATTTTCATGAGGTTTATAAACCAACGTCACATAACTCAGGGCCATCATCCTGTGTGAAAAAAATGGTGATTTATTGGGACTTGACGATCAAAAAATGGCGACGGAATGGGGGTTTCACCCCCGAAAGCATGAAACATGGGTAATCGATTTTGGTGCAGCAAAAACTGGTGCGTCATGGCATTTTCACTGAGACTTGGGATGTTAAACCATCAAACAAATCTGGTTTAACCACCAAAAATGGTGACTAAATTGGGATTTCATCATGAAAACACTTGAAAAATGGTGGGTTCACAAAGATTTGGGATTTAACCATGAAGAAGTGGGGATTGAATGGGACTTAACCGACAAGAATGGGTGATTTAATTCGCTATTAAAACATATGGAGGAATTGAATTTTTGCCAGCAAACATGTATGGACATGAATGGAAACGGATGATTGAACCAACTTACCCATCAAACATATGTAGAAAAATGTATCGTTCAATATTTGTTAATTTGAAGCATTTTTGAAACTTGTGGAATTGGAGGAGTTAACCATGAAAAATATGGAAAAATTGGAATGTCCAAAAACTGAACCATGATTTGATCAAAATTTACGCATGAAATATACGGAAGAATTTGGCATTGACCAGCAAAAAAAGTGAAAATTGGCATTGAACCATGAAACCAATGTTTGTTCCTTAGTGAGTATGATTTTAGGTTTGGGCGGCAGTTGTTTTAGTGAGACGACATCCCTATAGGTTTTGGGGGTTTTGGATCCTGATCCAATTGTTTTTGGGTTTGGAAATCAGTTTCTATTCATCCAAAAACTATTGGGAATGCCCAAAAGTATGATGAACATCCCTATTTTTCGCGGTGGTTTTCCATATTTTTCGTGGTTATTCATGGTTAAATCAGTAAATCATCCATTTCTGTTGGTTAAATCCCTTGGACATGCCCCATGTTTTCCAGTGCCGAGGCCAGACCACGACGCGGAGATCCCGGATGCGTCCAGCGATGTCCAGGCACAGAAACTCAAGGAGTCATCGGAAGGTCCTGGTGACGCCGTCGAAGATGATGGCAATTGGCACGTGACTTGCCAATCACGCTGGGATATCACCATGGCACTGTGATTTGGCAGTGTTACTGATGTCTGCTTCAGTATGGCAAATAAGTCCCGCAGATCATTGCCGAAAACGAGGACTTCTACTTCTTGATGGGAAGGCAAGAGATCGCCTTTATATTGAGAATCAAAATTGAAGGATTGGGGTGTCATGTTGTTATTCCCCAGCAGCGCAAGCTAATGGGGTCTTCAGCCCAGAATAGCCCCGGTGTGCACCGGTGCAGGCGCCGGGTCAGGTTCAACGAGGTCCCGGAGAAGGTTCTGCAAAGCCAAGGGGCAGAGCCAGGTCAGGTTCAACTCCAGAGAAGGTTGGGGAGGCTTTAGGGCAGAGCCAGGTCAGGTTCAACAGGCTACCGGGGAAGGTTCCGGAGAAGATTCCAGAGAAGGTCGAGGAGCCTTCAGTGGTTGTCAGGTTCAACAGGGTTCCGGAGAAGATTGGGGAGAAGGTTCTGGAGAAGGTTTGGAGGCTTTGGTGCAGAGCCAGGTCAGAGCCCTGTGAACTCTCAAGTTCCCCAAGACAGGGCGAGGTAGCACGGCCGAGGGGCCATGGTGGCACGGCAGGCTAATGTATGACAGGACCTGCCCGACAGAAAGCAGATGATGCCGTGCGAGAAGCCTGCTACCGCCGTTCAAAAGGCAAACCTAAAGCACAGAGGAAACATCCAATTGCCAAACCCTGCAACCCAGATGTGGGGTGCCCTAGTCATGCTGATGATAAGCCACATCCTCAGTTGCCGCCACCCTCCACCTTTGATTCCTTGCCAATGTGGCGAGTGGGAACATACAATGCCATGTCTATGGTCCGGATGGGCCGCTGGGATGTGCTGTCGCGAGAAATGCAAACAGTGGATGTTGTGGGAGTCCAAGGGTTGTGTAGCCGGGCAGAGCAAGACTTTCCATGCAGCTACTTCCGGAGTTCGCAGCATCATGTTTTTCAGTGGGGGTACGGAAGCGGCGTGTTTTCCAACAAATCATGTGGGGTGGCACTCATGCTCAAACACCAGAAGTTTCGTTTGCATCACATCAGACAAATTTATTCGCCTCCAGACTGCTTGGCAGGTCGCGCCGGCGCCTTGCGCCTCAAGGGCGCGCGTGCAGATTTTTTGCTGGTTGTGGGATATGTGCCAGTGGAGCCCAGCAATCAAGCGCAACGGCGTGGAGTCCATGCATTGTTTTCCTGGCTGGATCGCCTCTTGTCGGATGCTCCAGTGCGGACAGTTCCTGTTCTGTTACTGGATGCCAACGGCCGGACAGGGCTACACAGAGCAGGCCCAGGGCCGTGGCAAGTACTGCCAGGCAATGATGCTGCGGTGGGTGCATGGGGTGCCGAGGTGGAAAGCTACAACGGCTCCAAGCTACACGAGTTCATGTTGCAACATCATTTGGCAGCAACCAACACTCACGACAGGCACGGATGTGGCAAAACGTTTCATGGCGCCCACCATGCCTCTCGTATTGACTATGTCTTGGTTCCTGCTGGTCTCTTGCCACATGTCTGCAAAGTTCGAGTTTGGTATCGGAGTGCCTTTCGCCTGCAGCTGGTTGACAGCCCTGCACTCCGGGACCATTGCCCAGTGGTTGCTGACTTTCGGTACGAGATCCACTTTGATCACAAAGTTTCGGAGCAAAGATGGGACTTTTCGAAGTTGGCCGCAGCCATCCAAGGCTCTGATTGCAAAACGCAATTCCTTCAAGAAGCCGAACGTGGGTTGCAGCAGGTTCAACTCCAGCAAAATGGAACAGCTCCACACACTGTGGCTGCTGCCTGGCGACAGCTCAACAATGTGGTGTGCTCAACAGCGCAGAAGCACTTTCAGCTTGCGCCGCCTGGCCGCGCTCGCAAACCAGCTGATACAGTTCACGCTGCTGAACAGGCATTGGCGGCCAGACTGCGCTACCGAGATGCAGTGCAGAGCTCGCAACATTCCCCAAGAGACCTTCTGCCACAGCGTTTTTACTGGCGTGTGTGGATGGCCCATGTGCGTTTTGTGCAATTGCAACGGCAAGCAAAACGGCTCTGCCGCCGGGACAAAAGAGCACGTCGCTCTGAGTTGGTGGAACAACTGGCGTCTGCGGCTCGCCGGAGCGATTTGGCTCTGCAATGGAAATTGGCTTACCAGCTGGCTGGGGGCAGCCACGGGCCCAAAAAGCGGCGCTACAACATGCCGCAGAGGTTCCGCCCTACAGCTTCTGAATGGGTGGAAGAGTTGGTGCAATCCGGCCCTGCAGGTGGTTGTTCAGCTCGCACACTCAACGCATTTTCCACAAGCGAAGTGGTTTCTGGAATGGATGTGGGCACAGCCACCTTGGGTTCTTTTGCTGATTACAATGGCTCACCAATGTCCATCCCTCCGGTGCAAGTTGAGGTCCATGCTGAAACTTTGGCCAACGAAGATTTTGCGGGTCTTTGCGCAAGTGTTCGCAGCCTGCGGCGTGGCCGCTCGGTGCCGGAGTGGAGTGCTCCTGCGGAAGTTTGGCGACTCCTTCTATTTCCTGCAGAGCATCTCTCCCAGGGGCACACTTTGCCTCCTGGCACGCATGGCAGTTGTGAAGGGTTGCTGCGCACCTTGCTCTATTTGGTGCGACGCAATCAAGAAGTGCCTTGGCTATGGAATCTTTCTTCACCAGTTGAGCTTGACAAGTCGAATGGGAAACGCGGGTGTGCAGGCAAGCGCCTCATTCACAAGCTGGATCCGATTGGGAAGAGTTTTTTTCACATGCTCTGGACTCGGCAAGGCGATGTTGCCAGACACTATGCATGCGGCTTTTTGCGCCACAGACGCAGGGAGCAGGCAATACTGCAACAACGGTGTCTCAACTGGAAATTGCAGAAAACTGGCCAGAGCCGGGTTAGTGTGCTCTATGATGTCAAAAACGCGTTTCCATCACCATCGCACGCAAGCTTGGACCTGGCTGTTTGTTCCAATTGCCGACCTGCGGACGCAAATTTGCTTTGCTTGCGCCACCGTGCTGCTTTCATTCTGGTGCGCGACCCTTTCAAACCTGAATTTACAGTGGTTCAGATTGGTTGTGGCAACTTGCAAGGTGACCGGGTGGCTCCGTCTCAATTTTTGGCGGTATACCACCCTGCTCTGGACGAGTGGAATGACAGATGCAGGCGCATGGAGCATGGTGGTCAGTTTGTACTTCGGGACCCTGTTTCTGGCTTGCAAGTGGACACAGCGCTCAGCACATTTGCAGATGACGTTGCTAGAACTCATGTGGTTCCTCGCATTGCTGATTTTTCACCCACCATGCAAACCTTGGACTCGCATTTTGATGCGTGCTTGGGTCGGCTTCACATGGGCCAAAACCATGACAAAAAAGAGCTTTTGGTCCGCCTTATGGGCAAAGGGGCCCAGCTGGCAATGCAGCGCATTTACCACGGACACATACAAGTTCGTGGCCGCTGCCAAAGAGTGTGCAAATACTTGGGCAGTCTCCTTCACCATTCTGGAGCCACATCCCCTGAAGTCTCCAATCGCATTGCTGTGGCCAAGCGAAATTGGGCAATCATGCGCAAGTTTTGGTTCACGCGCGGGGTTGCTGCATCTCAACGGCGGTTGGTCTTCTTGGCTATGGTGGTGTCTCCTTTGTACTCAGGTATTGAAACTCTGCAGACTCATGATGGTGACAATGTCCGACTTGGAAGAGTGCTTGCCGCTCTGGCTCGAAAATTTTGCCAAGGACGTGCCTGCCTCAAGCCACACGAAGATGCTCACGGCCACCATCGCAGCTTGTCAAATTCGGCTGTGTTTGAACTTTTGCAAATCTTTCCGCCTGCCTGGGAGCGCCGAGCCCGCCGTCTTCTCTGGTGGCAAAGCATCGCCCGGCACCCTGGCGACAATGTGTCGCTACTGGCCACAGTTTTTGGACAATATGGCTGGGAAAATGGGCCGCCTATTGGGGTGGATGGGAGAGTCACTGCTCTTGCAAACCCATGGCTGCGGGAACTGGTGGAAGATTTGGACAAGTTGGGTGAGCCAAATTTGGTGGCTGACCAGCCACTGTCGATTTTTTTTCATCCTTGCAAAGATTTGTTTGTCAATCTTCCTATCAGGACCCTGCTGGTGCGTAAATACAGAGAGGAGTTGGCAGCGCTTGGACTTGCGCCAGTGGAGAATGCAGATGAGGTGGCGCCTGTGGGTCCGGCTCCACTTCGTTGTGACTGGATTGGTGCTGATGGGGCACAGTGTGGCTACACCGCGCAATCCACAACGGCCCTTTCCACACACAGACATCGCCTTCATGGTGTGCGCATCACTGCACGACAAATTGTGGTTTGCAATCAGTGCCCGTGGTGTCGTAGGATCTTTGCTTCCGTTGAGATTGCCAAACGTCATGCTCATGCCCGTGTCAAAAAAAAGGGCACTGCCCTCGACAAGGGGGGAATGCTGCTGGCATGGTGGAGCAATTGCGTCCCCCTCCAACTTTTCGATGTCCAGTCTGTCCTCATGAAGCAGTTGATTTGGAAACCTTGCAGACACATGTGGTGGGCCACGTCCCCGCTGGCCAACATGTTTTGCACCAGTACCTCATTGCGGCTCAGCAGTAGTTGGAAAGTAGAGACCGAGCCTTCAGCCATGGACTCTTGGTTCGGCGCCGCCCCCAATGGTGCAGGTGCTGAACGGCAGGTGCGACCTCGCACCGGCCGAAGCTCCAAGGACAATGAGCAGCTCTTGACTGCTGTGGCTCGCCTGACGTTGAAGAACGCAGGTCTGCCGCAACCTTGAAAGTGCAGTTTTTGTCACCTATATCCTGGCCAAGGAGGGTGCGTATGCTCAGGCTGCTTCGGCCGCCGGCCAGACATATGCGCAGAGAGCTCGCGCTGCGGGAAAGAATCACACCCTGGGACAGCCGTCTTCGTGGGTATGGGCTGCTTTGACCCAAGCCGCCTTGAAAGACGAAGCCCTGTCTGAGGAGAAGCGTGCCATGGTGAAGCAACATTGTGATTCTGTCACCGATCCGGCTGTGCTGAGCGATCAGGTCCTCTACTGTCGAGTGTCCAAAGTATATGACCAGACCAAGGTTCGTCTCCAGATCTCGGTCGCTCCAGGTGCTCTGAGTGATGTGCTGACTGTCTTGCAGGATGGCATGGAAAAAAGTGGAGGTTTGCGCAAAGATGGCCCAGCTCCTCGTGGTGCACTTGAAAGACAGATTCAAGAGATTATAGGTGAACCCGGCGTTGAGTGATGACCACCACCTTTTGAGCGGGCAGTGAGGCAGTTTGATTTTCCATACTTTTGTGCTCGGGTGCTGCTGGGCATCCTTGCTTTTCAGTTCTTGATTTTCCGATCTCACTCTAGGTGCAGTGTTCTTGTGCGGCGTCCGATTAACACTATGTCGGGTGCGCTGGATCCCCAGGCACGGTGTGAAGCACCCTGTCTGGCGCTCCGTTGGCGCCAGCGCGGCCAGGTGGATCACGGCCGACTGAGGTCTTGTTCCATTGTAAGTGCCTGCTTGTGCCTCGCCGTGGAGCTAGGTTTCACTCAGGTGCGGCAGAGATGGAGCTCCGAAGGCGCAGTGAAGTGAAGAAGAGCCAGGTCAGGTTCAACAGGGTTCCAGAGAAGGCTAGGTCAGGTTCAACAGGGTTCCGGAGAAGGTTCCGGAGAAGGGAGAAGGTTTGGGAGGTCAGGTTCAGCAGGGTTCCGGAGAAGGTTCCGGTGAAGGTCTGGGAGGCTTTGGTGGAGAGCCAAGTCAGGTTCAACAGGGTTCCGGAGAAGGTTCCGCAGCCAGGTCAGGTTCAACAGGGTTCCGGAGAAGGTTCTGGAGAAGGTTCCGGAGACGGTTCCGGGAGGCTTTGGTGCAGAGCCAGGTCAGGTTCAACACAATCCGGAGAAGGTTCCGGAGAAGGTTTGGGAGGCTCTGGTGCAGAGTCGGGTCAGGTTCAACAGGATTTGTGGGCATTTAATTATTTAATTCACAGAAACCCAGCTTAGGTGTTTGACTTCGCAGCACGCTTCAGAAAGATTTGTAAAAATAGTAAAAATAAAATGTTGCGGCTGTTGGGGATACCACCGAAGCTTATTTTTTCCTATCAGTTTAATCAGTTTTGGCCGAATATTTTCCGAGTGTATCTAATTGTTAGTTGCTTATCTCAAACTTCCCATTCTTGGGTTGGTGACATGAACCACTATTGTCAGCTTTCACCATGTTCGCTATTTGGATCTGCCTGGCTAGTTAAACCCTCTTTGATATTCCTTCTTCCTTTAACTTTACCCATCAGTTGTACCATCATTGTGATTGGCCATTGTTCGTGATTTCCCTTTATTGTCAGACATGTTTCCCCTTTATATTAGCAATAAACGGATGATACAATATACACATGTACATACATACATACCATACCATAACATAACATTACATAAAATAACATTACATAACATTACATTACATTACCATACATTACCATACATTACCATACATTACCATACATTACCATACATTACCATACATTACCATACATTACCATACATTACCATACATTACCATACATTACCATACATTACCATACATTACCGTACATTACCGTACATTACCGTACATTACCGTACATTACCGTACATTACCATACATTACCATACATTACCATACATTACCATACAATACCATACATTACCATACATTACCATACATTACCATACATTACCATACATTACCATACATTACCATACATTACCATACATTACCATACATTACCATACATTCCCATACATTACCATACATTACCATACATTACCATACATTACCATACATTACCATACATTACCATACATTACCATACATTACCATACATTACCATACATTACATTACATTACATTACATGACATGACATTACATTACATTACATTACATTACATTACATACATACATACAACGAAGGCTGATTCCTTCTCGCCTACAGTATTAGGCACAACGTTCAGCACAAGATAGTATATACCTCTATTTACTGGCAAAGTTGCCAGATATACCCGTTGATAAAACCCCATGTTGTAAAACGGTAAATCAAACCGAACTATATTCTTACAGGATTGACAGATTCTGTACATGCCCACATATTTTCACATCAGGACGATATAGCAAAGTTCATGCTTGACCTACCTTTTCTTATATTTACAGGTGTAAGGTGTATGTTTCATATATGTGTATATATATATATATACATATTTACATGCATACATACATATATATATATATGCATATATATATATGCATGCAAATATGTATATATATACATATTTACATACATACATATATATATATATATACATATATATATATACATATATATATATATCTATACATATATATATATACATATATATATATATAAATATATATATATACATATATGTAATGTAATATATAATTTAATATAGGATATAAAGTATATCTGTATATTGTATTCACACCATTCGAAAAAACACATCGCGTCATCTTCTCAGGTGGCCGCTTTAGCGGCTGCCGTGGAGGACGACGAGGAACTGCTGTGGCAGGAGGATGGCCAGGGGAATCTGACGCATTGGGCGGCCGAGGCGACGGAGAAGCCTAGGTAAGTCGTATCGTGGATCGTTGGTTAGTGGTGTGTTGATTGGGATTTTATGGTGATTTCATTGGATTTTATGGTGATCTTATGGGATTTTATGGTGATCTTATGGGATTTCATGGTATTTTACTGGTGATTGTAGGATTTCAAACTATCAATGAGGATTCTAATGGGAATTGTAATGGGGATACCAGGGTTCATGATAGATGCGTGGAGGTAGTTCATGGTGTTTATCAAGCAACAAACATATTTGGGGTGATGATTATTGCGAGGAGTGCCCCATGAAGAGAGCAAGGGGTTATTTCACTCAGTTGAATTTTATAGCACACTTCAGGAATGGGAACTTCTTGAGCAGGGTTCCTAACCAGGTAACGAGTTACTAACTGAACGATCTTCCACTTAGCTGCTTAGTACCAGGGATTCTCACCCATGGGGTCACTTCCTTTGACGTTAGATCAAGGCTGTTGACCGTTACAGGTGGGCCGATTCTTCTTGTGGCAAGAGCACTCGGGAGTGCTCTACGAGTATGTCCCCGCCAGCGATACCAGGTGAGAATCGACAGTGGACTGGGGGTTCATCGGTCCAGCTGTTCACCGGGGCATGGTGCGACTTCGTAAAGTGCTTGACCCTATGGTAAACGCATCAATAGCAACATAAGTAAACACAATTAGGTATGGTTTACTGTCACACCAAAAATTTAAATGTGGCATGGCATATTGTTTGGGTTTGCACCATTGGCTGCACTACAGGACCCAAAAGTCACTGATCGAGGGAATCTCAGTGATCAGCCATTCACCAAGAGTCATGGGTTTTGCACGTTTTTTCGGCGTACTCCTACTTGGATGCTCAGTGGTTGTGTGTTTTCCGTTCGTAAATGTAGGGACGGTCTCAGTAGGATCGTGCAAACCGCAATAATTCTTTTGTTGTGCTTTGCAAATGGCCAATCAGGTCGAACGGCCTTTTTTCACAAAGGAACTCCCATCTTGAGCAACTCCATGCCATTTTGGTGCTTGGTTCAGATCCCTTTTTTATCCCAAAACTTCCCGGTAATTTAGGAAAGAGCATGATCATTTTGGCTGGCCAGTATATGGGTATACCTTGGGTTGATTGCAGGGTACGAAAAATGCCATGATGTTGATAAAACCATTCCTCATTCCACTGGGAATACATTCCCACCATTTTTCATCTTTAAACATGGTCTCATGATGTCACCGAAATCTCCCCATCATATCCAAACTCACCATTTTTTCCATCACTTGTGGCATCAATAGCTTCAAAAGATACTGTTCATTTTCTGGGCAGGATTCTTGCTCGACATGATCATTTTTCACCTGTTTTCTATCACTTCTACAAATAGCCCTATTATATTCATAGAATTGTTTTCCCACCACATGAATATTCTGATAATATTCCGACAAAAACAACATGTTTTTTTTCCCATTCTTGAAAATATTCCTATATTTTTTCCAAACATCTCAGTGATCAATCGATTTCCCACCATATTCCTATCAATGGGGGAAAAGTCTCAGCAATCTTTATACCACTATTTTCTATCTCAGCAATATTTCATAATTGTTTTCCCACCATATCAATATTTCATATATTTTCCCACCTTTTTTTTTCTATCTCAGCAGAAATTTCCCCCAGCCGGGCCCCAAGTTTCGCCCGCTGGGTGGCGCGCTGGGCGTTGACGCCTCGGCTGGTCGTCTCTGCGTCCGCGGAGCTTCGGGTGGTGGACGGCCGCGGCCATGGCTTGTTGCTGGGCTCAGAGGACCCTGGAAAAATGGTGGATTTTTCCAGGTTTCCTGGTTTCCACTAGGGAAAAAATGGGTGGGTTGTTGAAAGAACGAAACTGGAAGTTGTGTGAAGGAAACGGAGGAAAATGTGATGGCTTTTGAGTTTTTACAAAGGAAAACATGGCGTTGCGTCTAATGAAATGAAGGCAACTTTGAGTCCATCGGCAATTGGAAGCACAATGGTTGACTGGCTCGTCGATGATCTAGCCAATAATAAAGCAAGTTGGTGAGCACTCAGAAGCAGCCTGACAAGAATGATGGTTGAAGAACCGGCAAGAATGGGGGGGTCTGGTTTGTATTTACGATAAATATATGGATTTAGAAAGCGACTTGAGACAGCAAGATTTGGTTTCTATCAACATGCTTTCACGGTGGCCACAATTCAGGTTTTAGCAAAGATGTTGGGCATTTGGCAGAAAGAATTGCAACTGGGGGAGGCTTATCAATAGAACATTGGAGGTTAAGAAAGCAACATTTACATTTTACAAGGAAGTGTGTAAAATGCACCAAGAATTGGAAACATACTGACATGTTTTGTGCATGTTCCAAAGACAATGACTGCGGGATGGCTGAATTTTTGTATGTTAGACTATCAACATGGATGGATATATAATGATATATATATATACATATGCGTATATCCACATAGACATAGACACATACATATATAGAAACATATACATAGACATGTACAGAGACATAGACATAGATACCTCACCACGTACTAACCACCAATCCCATCATTTTTATAGGAGCCCTGCTGGCAGTTCTCCTCCCTGCAGCCGCAGCACGCCAGAGTCTTCCGCAAAGGACAGCGCTGGTGGGTCGAGGTGCCGCTTCACCATGGTGGTTGGGGATGACTCCGACTGTACGACGCTGTTTAATACAATGTGAGGCCCCAAAGATATCTAAGTTGGTTTATAACTCCAATAACTGTGGTTTATGGTAGTCATAACTATAGTTACTGGGGCTTATGAACCAACTTATTACTGGGGGGCCTCACATTGTAGTGTTCAATAGCGGGGAGTGGGACGAATGGGATGAATGGGAGGGTGATTAACCAAAAACCAAAGTTGAAAAGTGAAGATTTCAGCATCAGGAGGATTTAACCAAGTTAAGCATCGGACATGGTGGAACAACGAGAATTGTGACTGCACCAACACAAAAATGCGGGATTTAACGCCAATGTATGGTTAAGAATGGTGTTTTTTTCTTTAAAAACCATTGCCACAAAACGGTTGAAGATTGGAATTTAACCCGATCGATTGGGATTGAGGGGGGAATGTAATGGGAGCTTTCCCAACAAGTTATTGTGAACAAAGAGGACACACTGCGAGGAAACAATATGACATATGGGTATGTCCGAAAAGTGGTTCATATTCCCCAGAAGGTGATGAATAAATACGACCAATCAGTGAATTTGGGGATGCACCACTTTCAGACAAACCTAAATAGGTCCAAAAAAGTGGTAGGGTTGAGTTGAAATCTCCAAGGCTGGGAGATCGTCAAGATTGGAATAGATCTATGAAGATATATATATATATACATTATACATAGATATGCACATATATATATATATACATACATACATACATACATACATACATACATACATACATACATACATACATACATACATACATACATACATACATACATACATACATACATACATACATACATACATACTAACATAACATAACATAACATAACATAACATAACATAACATAACATAACATACAATTACATACATACATACATACATACATACATACATACATACATACATACATACATACATACATACATACATACATACATACATACATACATACATACATACATACCATTAACATACATACTACATACATACATACATACATACATACATACATACATACATACATACATACATACATACATACATACATACATACATACATACATACATACATACATACATACATACATACATACATACATACATACAACATACATACATACATACATACATACATACATACATACATACATACATACATACATACATACATACATACATACATACATACATACATACATACATACATACATACATACATACATAGCATGGAATATCATGGCTTTGTGAGCAAGTATCTTTTTCAGAAAACACCATAGCTACATTTCAGATTCCCCAGTCCATGTCCAGGCGTTGGATGATGCGTCGCCCAGCTTGCTGAATGGACAACGGCTACAGCTCGGTCACTGGGCACATAGACCCTGTAAGTTGGGGGGTTGGAATTGTGATTTCCTCTAAAGGGATGCCCAGCTTCCATTTGGCTGATCATCCATCATGAATTTATTTGGTTCATCTATGTCGGCATTTCCCAAGGCAAACCCATGGCTCTCCTGTCCTCAGCCCTGCTACGGCTGAACGACGTGGAGCTGCAGCTGGATCTGCCCGAGACGCCCGGCGCGGCACCTGCCACCGGCCTCGCCGCGACGACCGCGACAGCGACGGCGCCGGTGCTGCAGCGCGACTTCGTGCCGAGGGAAGAGGTGCCGGCAATGGACCTATCAATGGAGGCAGACAAAGCTGGGAAAATCCAACATTCGAGCCATGTTTGATGACTCAGAAGGTATCCATTTTTTGAGTAGTTATAGGAAGAATACACACACACATATATATATATATATATGTATAGTTGGTAATCCCAGTCCCATGTCCCCAGTAGTATGAAGGGTTTCATCAACAAGAATCAGCATATATCCTACAAAAATACCGCATGTTTAAGCCCTGAATTCTGTGGGTAACTCCCCATTCTTGTTGGATTCTAACGGATGGTTGAACAATCATTTTTCCGGCTTCAACCGCCAGCTTTTGGTGACAACTTCTCAGGGCTGGTTCACTGCGATTTTTTTTCTTCCCCATTTGGCAAACACATGCAAAAAAATATACTGGTTGTGTATTCCACCAAAACTGGGTTGATTCAGTCAGTTTGATATCCAGAAATATACCAATGAAACAATCCCACAATATCCCATGATGTTTCGACATATAATGTTGGACTAATGTGGATTAATAGGGATAAAAGCGTTTCCCTAAACATAATCATAATGATATCATAGAATATTCCATAAAGTATGACATATATATATATAGAGTTCATAAATATCCCATAATCATCACATCCCATAATCTATTATTCCCAAATTATAGCCCATTGAAAACCAGACAGATATCGTTTTATGATTGATTTAACCATAACTACTTGAATAACCATAATCTGATTCATATTTTTCCCCATTGTGAATTTGAATGGATATTATTTCTACAAACACCATTACAATGTAATATATATCACGGATTGTTTTCCCAGTGCAATATAGATTATATACTATTATATACTTATAATCAGCAAAGGGATCATATATGTGATATTATACCCTATTACCATTATATAGTATACCATACATGGTTGATTATGGGATATTATTTCTATAAACACATTATATCAGGAGCTGACTAGACTGTGGATATCATTTCTCTAAACACCATTAGAATATAACCAAAAAAACAGATACTAACATAGCTGTTAAATATAAGCAGATATTTTAGTTTAGAGTCAGATGGTATATTTGAATATATCGGTTTAGTTAAATTTTTTCACAACCAGATATATGTTTTTGGTCTGTTATTTTGTTTAGTTTAGTTTTTGATATAGATAAATCACCTTTAGTTTTTGATATAGATACCCTCTGGTAAACATACAAAAAACTGTGGAAAATCACCATTTTTAATAGGTAAATCCATTATAAATGGCCATTTTCAATAGCTATGTTAGTCATAACCAGTGGGTAAATCACCAGATCTTGGGTCAGGAGTCGCCATCTCCGCAGCCCACCGGCACGGCCCACGCCCACGCCCTGAACCGGGCCCTGCGACGCCTGGTCTGCGGCTCCAACACGCAGAGCAAAGCGCTGGAGCGGTGACGGGGTGGCACGTCACCGCGGAAGTCGTGGGTTTTCATCGGGAAAACCATGGGAAAACCATGTGAAAACCATGGGAAAACCATGGGAAAACCCATGGAAAATGGTGGTTTGATGGATTTTGAACCCACAAATGTAGGAAGATGCCCTAAACACAAAATCAACGTCCCAAATGGTTTCCTGACAATATTTAAGTATTCTGGTTCGTGGTGTCATAGATGTTCTTCCAAAGCAATCTACACAAATCCCCAAAAACAAGCGTTAGAGAAAAATACATCAAGAACAATCTATGATCATACAGCATGGAAAATCATACATGTCTTCTTTCCAACACCCACAGATTGTCATTATCAAAAGATTGGTTTATCATTGTTTCCCCCATAATCATCATACCATTCACCATCTTTGAGAAGATAAACCAGCGAAACCATCCAGCAGCTCCAGCTGTTGCTTAAGGCCGGACGTCTTGGCGCGGGAGCAGCGCTACGAGGATCGCGCAGAGAAGCGGCGCCGGCTGCACCCAGTGGAGTGGCCACAGCCCGCGACGCCCGCCGCGACAGCGCCGCAGCCGGCGTTGGCGGCACCGCTGGAGGTGCGGATTTTCCCGGTTTTTCTTTGGGGTGTCTTGTTGAATCTGGGTGAAAACCCAAAGAGCTTGACAGTCGGATTTTTTGAAACTTGGGAATTAGTTGAAATTGCATGAGATGTAGAAATTATATGAAGGCATTGAATTGGGAAATCTATCTTCAGGTGCAGTCTGGATGATCCATGATTTTGGCGGAATGGATTATGATAGCCTTCCAAGTGGAGTATCACATGAAATGGTGAATCCGATTGAAATCGATGATTGCCCATCCTTTACCAACAATTTAAGTGTGAAAAAGCAACAAACAACAATTCTCAGTTACCCTCTGGTAATTTCACATAACGGAAAATCACAATTTTTTCATAGGTCAATCAATGTAAATCAGCTATGTCTATGGCCATCTATATATACCATAGCAAACTGTCAGTCATAACCAGTGGGTATCATTGACGTCCAAACGCTTGCCAGGCCCGTATGGAGCCGCAGATCTCCCGGCGTTTCACGGAGCAACCAGGGTGATATGTTTTTTTTGGCAAATCTCCCCGGAGATTCGGTGCGGAGTTCAGCTGCGGAGTTCTCTCGGGTGGTTCAGCCAGGGTGGAGATTTCCTCTGAAATCTGAGGATTTTGAGCTCCAAAAGCAGTGGAGATCATCATTTTTCTCATGAAAAAAAATCTCAGAGTGAAATGTCCCCAAAGGATGATGCGCAAGCGAAGGATTTTTCTGGTTTGAAGCCTGAGAAGGTGGCGATCTGGATCTGGAAAATCTGGCAGTGTACATAGTGGATGTCAATGATACATCCAGACTTGGCCCTCTCAAGCACTAAAATGTGCAGTGAGGTCCACGACAGAAAAAAACCCTAGCAGACATGGGTGCGTTGCGCATCATTTCTTGTCACGAGATTCGCGGCTAAGGAGCAGATGAATGTTGGGGAAGCTCAGTGCTATCACAAAAACTGTGCCAGTGCCATCACGAAAATTGTGGGCAGCACGATGGCCCCAGTTCAAAATAGTGGAAGAAACGATCCCTTCAACTTACTTGTGCAGAACTACGTAGGGAATTTTCAGGAATGACCCACTGGCTAACTATCAATTTCATCATCCCACCAACCCCCACCCATCCATTCCCTGTTCTCCCAGGCGTATGTTGCAGGCCTTGCACCAGTGGGGATCCCACCAGTGACACCACAGGTCAGGGTGACCCAGTTTTTTGCAGCCCCCAGTTAGAATGTGCATGGGGAAAGTAAATCCCATGAATTGCATGGTTGAGTCATATTAAATCCCATATCAATGCCACATGTTTTCCCGATTGGACGCAGGTGACGCACATTGGTCCGGAAGGCTTCACCTTTGAGGTGCGATAGCTTGAACGAACTGAGTGGTACTCACGATACCTATCACATGTTCAATGCTTCGTAAGTGAGACAATTCTTGATAATGGCATCATCGCCCAGTAATTTTGGGGATATGGTCATACTTGGGGTAATCCAGCAACAGAAAGTAACATTGACTTTCTGAATGAGTGATAAGTAATTAGCAAGATGGGGAAAAGTCTGAAATGTGTTCCTACAATTCCCCTACGATGGGACAAAATAACTAAACAGTTTCTGTTAATCCACCACAATTGGGAATGCACCAAAATTGAGATCACCATAGTTAAGCCTATGAATAATGATTAACAATAATCACTAATAATAAGTTAGTTCAGTTATATAATCGTATTCAGAATCTACTAAATAACAAGCATTATGAATTCAGTAATCCTATAATCACTATAACACTTAACTCTCAGCACTCCTATAACAATAATTTGATAATTGATAATCCACTAAATAATCCAACCATGATGATCCACCCATATTATCAATAATCCGAAATAAGCACCAAATAGTAATCAATCATAAGGCAATATTATAATCCAATCATCAGTAATCCTATTCTAACACCAATCAGTTGCTATAAATAATTCACTCATGGTCATAGTTAATTCTAATAGTGAATCCTACATTCAACGGATTGGTTTGAGGGAAAATTTAGAGGAAAGCCCCATGTTGAATGGGAAAATCCATGGTTTCCGGTTTCGATTTTCCCAACAAAACCAATCCAATGATAGCCAGGTGGTGCTTCGCAAGGCTGCCGGAGCCTTCCTGGGCATCGACATGTTGCCGGCGGGAATGGCACGGGGAATGGCACGGTGGACTGGACCAGGAATGAGGACTTCAACCAGTGAGAAATGGGGATTTTACCAAGTAGGACTTCACCAACAAGACTTGGTAAAATGTTGACTTGGAAACTGGACTTACCAAGTAGGACTTCACTTTTCTTAGTTCAACCATTTTTTTCAACTAAGAAACATGATGAACCATGATGAACCAAGCCGAAATGGTGATTTAAGTCAACACACACGGTGATTTATATCAGCCTATGATTCGACCAGGCTGAGTAATGAACAGCACCGACCAGGTCTATTGATTCATTACCCGCCCGTGTTGTTTGTGTTTCCACCATGTCACATTTCATGGGAATGGCTTCAATCCAACCCATTTCTTGTGATTGTGGGGTCTACCACATTAGTAAAGCATCCCAAGTGACTTTCATATTTTTCAGAGGGGTAGGTATACCGTATACCACCAACCAGTTGTTTTTTTTTCCTGATGATATGACGAAATCCAGCAAAGATGCCAGAAAACTGAAAACTGACTCACCTTTTGTACAGTCCCCTCCAGAAATCCCAGTCGCAGGCGCAGAAGACTCCGTGTTTGATGGTGAAACAGGTTCTCCAGCAGCCCTGCCACGGTTTGAGGGGACAAAAATGGGTTGATGGGCTGATTGGTTGGGAAATGGTTGAATGGTTGGAAAATGGATGTTACATCCTGAAGGTTGAGTAAATGACTAAAATTGACTAAAACAAAGTATTGCCAGATGCTTATTGGATAATGCGTTAAAAGGTTGGGACGTGGTTGAAAAACGTCGAGGTCTTCCATTGAAGTTCCAGGGGTGAGATCATCCAACAGTAGGTCTTGGACGGGCCAGGGGCGGCGTGGTGGCTGCATGGAACCATCAGTGCAAAGGTAGTGCCTTTGCCATTCATCCAGGTTCGGGCCTTGAAGTTTCACCCTTTCGCATCCGCAGTCGCAGTTTCTCTGAATGTTTCTGCAGGTCCAAGGGGTCACAAATACTAAGCAGCATTAAGCAACTAAACATCACTCATCAGCCTGAATCAGCCTTGATCATTTTTCAGACGTTAAAAGAAGCAGCGTTCCCCATGATTCCCCATGATTCCTCCACGGTTCACCGTTGGAGGTGACTACATTATTCGTGTGAATGATGTGATGGACGATATCACTGCCTTTATGGAGGACCGCAGGGCGAACGGCGGATGAACTCTCGGGATGCGATTTGTTCTTGGACCACAATAGTGTGTATTATATATTAAGATTGCATAATACAAGTGTATACATCTATATATATATATATATCTATCTATATATGTATAATATGTATATATATAATACATATATATATACATACATATAATATATATATACACATATATATATATATATATCAGCAACACCAAAACGTGGTATAGATCTGCAGTGGTCTAGATTGGCAATGTTTTTTTTCAATCAAAAAAATGAAAAATATGAATAACAATGAAAAAATATGAATAACAATGGAAAATATGGAAAAAATGAAAAATGAATAAAAACGAAACATATGAATAAACATGAACAATATGAAAAAAACACATGAAAAGAACATCATGAAAACAAAATGAACAAAACTTGAAACAAGATGATGAAGGAATATATGGCAACACCAAAGGCATATTGAATATTGGGTTTGGCCTCAAAACATGGATCACTGGAGGTGCTTTTTGGCAAACACCAGTGGATGGTATTATTCCATTGAAGGAAACAGGGCTTTAAAGGACAAAAGAAAAGGACAATGGAACCAGTTTTATTTTCAAAAAAAACAAAAAATATCAAAACAAAAGTCTCAAACAATCTCAAAAAATCTCAAGATATCTCAAAATTTCTCTAACGTTGTTTCTCAAACGTGGTTTTGCGAGACTGGGTTCTTTATTGCTTATTTTTCTGGACCACAGAAAATCTCAAAAAATCTCAAAAAATCTCAAAATCTTTCAGATTTGCAGGAAAAAAACAAAAAACAAGAAAAAAAACAAAATAAAACCAAACAAACTAATGCAAACTTACAAAAACCTTGGACAATCTCTGCGATTCTTGCCCTGTTTCCTCAAGCAGTAAAATGTTATTTTTTGCACTGCACCCTGCTCCAGCCAGATTCTGTGTAACTTGTATGATTCTGCTATCGTCTTCTTCTCGCAAGTCCGAAGCAAAGTTGTTGATGCCAAATTCAAAAGTGGCAACATTCAGTGTAGTCCGAAATTTGAAACAGGTTGGTTCTGTTGAAAATGGCGGTCCACATGAAAGAATCAAGAATCGCATTTGGTTCCGTTGCCGAGGCAAATGGCAGCTGCAGAATTGCTGCCCAACTATCAGCTGTTATCATATTTCCTTGTGTTGTAAAATGTTCAGCTTCCAGGGCGAAAGGATTTAAAACACAGTTGCTTGTCATATGATGTATTAGATATGCAGTGCATGATAACCCCAGGGAGGTCCCAAAGCAAAAAAAATCAAATAAAGTCAAATAAATACAGATAAAATCAAATAAATGATTAAATATGGGGAAAATATGGGAAAATTGATTTTAGTTGAAAACATATGTTGTAATATGATGCTGGTGGCCCAAAACCTTGTTGTGGGAATCCTCTAGCAATCCAACCCACCTTTTGGTTTCAATGAATATATATAGAGAGAGAGATAATTTTCGAAGCAACAATAAAGAATGATCAGTTCCGTGCCCGCAACTTCAGGAGATGCGCGCGCAGTCAGAGCTGCACCTCACTATTCTGAGGTGCGGAAATTCGTGAAATTCGAACGGCTGGAAGAATTGGATCAAGGGACAGTTTCAGAAATCTTTCAGAAATCTACAGGAAAGAGTACCGACTTGACAGAAATCTAGTGATTGATTTTGGAGACACTTCTCCATGGGTGCAGTTGGGCTTATGAGTACCATGGGATTCTAACCTCCACATGCCCAGGCGCGATGGCACTGGCCCACCCGCGCCCCCGCCAGCAGTGCCGGCAGTGCCAGGTGCGGGTTGAGCCATTGGTCATCTTTAGGACAGGGGACCAGAGATTCTCGTCGATTTTTAATAATTGGGGTACCCAATTTTGACCCATATCTCTGTTGATGGATAAAAATTAGGGGTTATACTATACTGGTGTATTGGGGATAAATGTAGATTAATCATAATCCATGATGAATGGGATAGATTTGCTTATGAATCTAGAGAAAAAAAACTAGAGTAAGACACAGGTACACAAACATGGTTGGCTGGAAATCATTGACCGATCCAGCATTGGTGATTTTTTTAAGCCAGGGTTAGTTGGTCTACCAGAGGGTAACCCACCAGCTGGGACAGGGACACCAGAAATGAGAGGGTATATTGGCAATCAATAGTCTTGATCAACGGCTATTTCAAGTAAGCATAACTGGCAAGGAACCGTGAGGTATTTCTGGGTTCCACGTTATTACCAATGGCAACCTTTGTTTTGGTAAACCAAGGTCTGTTGCCATTTTGACTGAGGAATATATCATATCCTGCTCAAGAAGACTCTTCTTTTGGTAGCGTATGAAAGTTTAACCCTGCAGCCAGTTATATATACCTGGGTTTTTGCAACTCCATGAGCCCAATGAGCCCAATGACAACCCCAATGACAGTGGATTATGACGTGGGATTATACTCCTTTTCGAACGGGGGATTTGTTGCCAGAAATCCAGTAGCTGCCAGTATCGGGAGGATTCTCACCATGTTCGACGCGCAGGACCTGTTAGACGACCCCTGAAAACTCCGACCGGACAATAGTGGCATAGATCCTACAAAGATGACAAATGTCCATAAATACGATGAACAATACTATTAAACACTATTAAATACGATTAAACACTATCAAACACTTTTTTAAATACTATTAAATAGATTTATTTCACCATTTTCAAAAACCGACCGGTCTCGCCAGATGCCAAGCGCCTTGGCATGCACCCGAGCCTAGCGAGGCGGCCATTGTGGGGTGATATCACTGGGAAGATCACTAGGAATATGGAAAAATAGATCTTCGCTGCGGATAGAAATAGCCATATTTTTTATGGGCCATAATGGGCCATTAAAGTATTTCATGGTATATTTACTAGGAACACAATGGGATATCCCTATTGATGGGATCAAATTATACTCAATAGGGATATGTCATGGGATCTAGATATAGACTCATTGAATGGGATATCATGGCTCAACCATGGAGATATCGTTTGTTGTGGGATCTCAAGCCAGTGAAGTTGATGTTTTTGACGAAATGGACACGGTACCAGCCAGCCCAATTCATTTGCGCCGCAGGAAAAATGAGTATGAAACAAGGACACATTTGCCATACCCTCTGGTAAACATACAAAAAACGATGGGAAAATCACCATGCTAAATTAATGGGTAAATCAACTATTTAACGACTGCGGCCATGGCTTCAAGTTCGCAACGTGTTAGTTTAGCAAAGGGTAAATTCCTTTAAATCACAATTTTTGTTGTTTTTTTATCCCATTAAACCACCATTAAACCACCATTAAACCACCAATAAACCCCCCTGACCGAAAAGTTGGACACGGGGAAAACACCATCGAACCGACGATGATCCAATTGCAGGCCCCTTGGTGGAGGCAGGGCTGCCCTGTTCGAAGATTGATCTTCAACGTCTGAAAGATTTATAAATACATATATATATATAATATGTATATCTATACATACATATCCATACATCTACATATTCTACATACTACAGATATGTATGTGTATATATGTATATATAGTGTTATATTACGTTACATTACATTATATGAATTTACATTACATTATATTATAGTATATTATATTGTAGCATGCTATATTATTATATTATATCATATTATGTTATGTTATGTTATATATATATATTTATATTACGTAGGTATGTCATCAATCCCGGCTTAAGATGCTTGCCAGGTGCTCCGTTGCCTGCCAGTCTGCCGAGGTGTCTGATTGTGGCTGATTGGGCGGTTTTTGTGGTGTTCCCACTGGTTGATAGAGAGGGAACCGTGGCAAATGATACATGGGTGTGTCTGAAAATAGTGTACCCCTAAACCCAATGGTTAATGATCATTATCCCTATTAAATGGCTATAACTGGGAATATACCCTATTTTCAGACAAACCCACATAATAGGATCTGCATATTATGATAGTACTCCCCTACTGCATAATAGTCCTCCTATCCGACGATCATTCCAAAGTGACTCTGTTGTTCCTCCTGAAAGGACGTCATTGATTGTTGGATGGGAGGGGATTATTACATCTATCATACAAAAACAGACTTCTATGAGTATGTCTCATTATCCAGACGTTGGTCAATCGATCATTTGTTTTCTCAATCCATATTTATTTGTGAAAATCAACGACTAAAATACAATGTCCAAACCGCAAGGAAAATAAGATGTCCAATCGGCAATTACAACACTATATATGATGTCCCCTGCAAAAACTCATACATTTGATTCTATTGTGGAGAACAGTTCGCCCCAGTTCGCCCCTATCTTTCCATCTCATTATCAATCAATTGGATTCTTGTACAGATAGTGGATGATGACTGCCTTTCAAAACTACATGAAAGCCATAGCCTATTGGTTGATACGCCACCCAATTCATTGGTCATGTTGTGAAGAAGCATTCGCATGGGTTAGCTGGGCCAAGTTCGGACGTGGCATGGATTTTTTTCAATCCTGCTGTATCTAATGATCAGAGGATTCGCATGGATTAGCTGTTTTACACAGTTGATGTTGTTCCTGTTGTTGTTGATTGCCATCTTTCGCTTTACCCAACTCCCAAGTTCGCTGTGTCGGCAGGCCCCCACAACCTGGATTCAAGGCGAGACGGGCGAATCTGAATCCGTGCTATGTCACCCAAAAAAAATCTACAAACATAACACTTATCGCATTGAACAAGTTGTTTTTTTTCCATGTGTTTTCCCATATTTCAACATTGTTTTCCAATTATAAACATCCAATAATTGGATTTTCCAATGGATTTTCTATGGATTATCCATATTTCAACATTGTTTATCATCCATTTCTAATGGATTTTCCCATAATGCCAGGCGGGAATGCCCGGCTATGAACAGATGGACCTTCGTGGCGCTGCTTGGCGAGATGAGGTTGGCGAAGCCCTGGGTTCACCATGGAAAATCACCGACTTCTGTCATCAACGGTCAGACCGATAGATTCTATCTTTTTCACATCAAGTTACCGACGCTTTTGAAACATTTTGTTTGATAATCTTTTAACAGAGATAGATAAACATGTCAAAAGATCAAACAACATGTTTTTTTTCGAAAAAATATGTGTGAAATCAAAGATTTATCTTGACATTGTGTGACACCGACCGGCAGGCGTCCAACGATGAATTTACCTTCGAGGTGGATCCGGTGACTGTGGATCCGGTGGGGAGTCATTTTTGAGCCCATGACACAAGACAACTATGGCATTTTTGTTTTTTCCGTCGATGCGGCTGCTTGGAAACCATCCCCAAATGGCCTTATTTCAGTTCTTTTATGTTATTTCAAGTTAGTGAAACTTACAATTCCGCCAGGCAGTTTCCAAACTCGACGGTGGATGATATTAGAATTTGCCCCTTGCCCATCCTGTTTCCTACGGTGCCTGCATATCCCGGATCACAACAATCACCGGGTTTCACAGGGTATTTTACATCTCAAAAAGTGCCTGAGCACCAAGGGGTAATGGTATATATATATATTATATTATGTATATATGTATATGTATATGTATATGTATATGTATATGTATATGTATATGTATATGTATATGTATATGTATATGTATATGTGTATGTATATTTATCTATGGATTATATATTATATCCCATATATTAATCCATATTAATCTTATCCATACATATATATATATATATCTACAATTCACATTACTATTTAATCTTACTATCATCCCAGTGGATTCATCCATATTCCCATATCATCCCAGCTTCACCTAGCGATATCTGGCAGCTTCACACAGGTGGAGATTGAAAAGCCTCGAGGGCACAAGCTTGGGATCGATGTCATGCTCATGACGGCGCCCGAACGTTGGGTAAAGCTGAGCTGGGTGGTGAGTTTTGAGATCCAGCTGGAGTTGAGTTAGGACAGTTAGGAATCATTGATCCAATCGAAAAAATAGCTGGTTATTGATGGGTAAACCTAGCCATGGGGGTTCATGCTTGAGTTAGGTTACTAGTGGATAAGAAATTAGATTGGATATCAAGGTTATTAATGAGTATTGATATTAGATAATCATCAGGGTTTCTTGGCTATTTTTTTGGTTATGAACCATCAAAATGGGGGATGTGTTTGTCTCTGGTCATCTAACATAGCCAGGTCATGAATGGCCATGTTTAATGGCTAAATCATCTACCAATGGGTCATTTGTGTCATTTTTCATGGCCCATAGGGCCCATAGCTATCTAAAATTACCAGAGGCTGTAAATCAGTTTATGGCCATGCAACAGGAACCGATTGATTGGAGGTACCGATTAAATATATAAGGCCTATTGTTCAGGCCTATGTAAGGGAATATCCCCCCAAAATATGGCCTGAAAAATGGTACTAACGTACCTCCATCAATTGGATCCTGAAATTCCCATTGAAATCAGTTTATGGGAACGTCGCCAGGATAGTTTCTGGGATATCACCAACACGATGATGACAGTGGATTTTTTTGGGGCACCCCACTTTTGGACAGGACGAACAGTGGACCAAATGAACAGCCAATTGGCTATGGGGTCAAGACCCCTTGAAAAGATGAATCACTGAACATCCACCTAACTACCAGTTTTTTCCATCAGAGCGACAGTATTGTGGTTATTGTGAGTCTTGAATGGTGATTTGTGGGATATTGCCATGATGATTTTGACAGTTATGTTATATACCCATTATTATCATTCTACCCTCTGGTAATTCAACATAGCTATTGAACATGGTCATTTATAGTTGATTTACCCATTAATAGCATGGTGATTTTCCGTCATTTTTTTGTATATTTACCACAGGGTAACTGTTCTGGTATGACACTAGTCACATACCATAAACATCCACTTTCTTTCACAACGCCGTGGCCAGGGTGGTGGTCGATGTGGCCTGCTCATCGGACAGGCGGTGATGTTCCATGAATGTTGAAATCAGCCCACGTTTGATGCGGAACAATCCACGTTTGGGAACACCATTGTCCCATGGTTTTCCAATTCAACCAGCATTTTTTATGATGCTTTTCCCATGGTTTTCCCATGGTTTTTCCCCCAAAGATGCCATAGATCTCTGCCAGGTGGCCGTGGGAGGCTACGCACACCTTTGGAATCAGCGGAGCCAATGGCCCCGACAGGTGCCACAAATTTGTGATTTTTCTGTGGATTTTGGAGATTTCACCAAGGAAAATGGTGATTTCATGGGATTTTCCATGGGATTTTCCATGGGATGTATGGGATGATTGATGTTTTTTTTTTATTCGGATCTAATGTCTAATGTGATCGGAGTTTTCCTGGGATGATGTGAACAATGGGAGGTTGAATCTGATGTTTAATGGGATTTCCGGTAGGATTTATGATCATTTATGGGGATCATTGGGATGATCTCCAACTTTGAATGGGCCAATGGGAGGTTTAAGCCTCAATTCAGAAGGGAGAAATATGGTGGAAATATGGTGGAAATCCAGCAATGTACGGGGGCAAAACCATGAAGAAATGGTGGGGCCACCAGCCGCCATGCAAATGTCAACGGGGATGAATATGTTACCCTCTGGTAAATTAACATAGACCCTGAAAATCACCAATTTTTAGAGGAAACTAATCTTCCAACCCCTATCTACCAGGGTCTATGTTAATTTACTGGAGGGTACATTGATTTTAACCACCACATTCAAGAGTCTAACTTGGGGTTTTGTCGTTAAAGATCCAACATGGTGCCATGGTATTTGAGCCATCCCCAAATGGCGCCTAAATGGCCCGGCATCGTTATTTGATTTCCGAATTTGCTTAAATGGGAAATGGCTATATGCTCAAAATGGATGCTTCTAAGTTTTAAGTGGTCAACTATTTTAATGCTTACTCTGATTTTGGGCACGGTCATCTGAATTTGAGATCCTGAAATTCACCAGTCATTCATTTCGGCCTGGCTATGAGGAAGCCATTCAAACTTGTCAGCGGCACCACTACAAACTAGTCTTGCCATTCCCAATATTTCAAGGTGGATATAATATTATATATATACATATATATATATACATATATACATATATAGATATATATATATACATACATACATACATATATATATATATATGTATATATATATATAATGGGTAACGGATGTACTGACCATCCAGAAATGGGTTTACATATAAGGTATACCAGCTCTGGACCGTCAGGTGAAAGGGTTGACAGGACTTGGTATCGCCAACAACCTTAGATTCGTATCACCATAGATTTGTTTGCCATCCCGACATCGAATGAGGATACACAACCCTAAAAAATTGGTGATGTCACAGATTCTGGTTGGTTGGATCTCCATTTAGTACGGGGTAAATCCCCCATGTTCAGACCCATACATATAGCATATATGGTTAGTAGTATAGGTCCCATTATTATACATCCATAATATCCCCTGTACAAAATATCCCATAGTTTGTTGGTTTGATCCCATAAGTATCCATTTAATGCATATGCAAACACCAAAAAAAAAATGAATTGTTTATACACATACATACGTGTATATATATATATGCATACATATATATATATATATATCATATTTCGATTAGTAACACATGATATTCCCACGAACCATACATTGCGATCGCAAATGGTCCATGAATCATATTTTCGGTTTCCTAAGTCATGGGGCTACATACATTTTAATCATCCAAAATCGATTTTCGGATTTTCCATGACCAAAAAACCCAAGAATTTTGGGATCCCCCATGACTTAGAAAACCCCCATGGGCCCCAAAAACAGCCTCGCTGCAGATCCAAAAGAATGACCTCATCATCGCAGCCAACGGCATCAGCGCGTGGACAGATCTCCCGAGGATGCCGCGGATGGGATGTGCAGCGTGTATGGGATTTTGATAGTGGCAATAGAATGGGATATCATGGAGTAAATACAGATGTATGATATATATATCTATACATACTCTTTGGCAATTTAATACTTCAGTATGGAAAATCACCATTTCATAGGGTAAATCATCTATGTCTATGGCCCATATTTTCCATAGCCATGTTTTACACAACCGGAGAGTAACGACCCCAGCCATGACCACACCAGCAGTATTTGGGGCCCCTGGTGGGTCCCTGGGTTGCACCATGAATCCTGGGGATCGAAGTTCCTGAATCTAGGGCTACCATGTTAACCATCACTATGGGGATATGAGTGATAATTCATGATTGATGTTGATGATTTTATATGATTTTATCATCGACCTGGAAGTTCCATTTTTCTCCAACCAGCATTTCAGTATGAATCATGGCATGACATGTCTCGAACATTGGTGATTTTTACCATACTTCATTTAAGTTACCTGTTCAAAAATGATGATTTTTCACGCTGTGCTAGCCCAAGGGCTATCGAGGATTAGCTTTCAACCATTGGTATGAGTGCAGGATGGCGCAAGAGTTTGACATGGACATTTGCAGAGTGCTTCCGGCCCTGCTTCGCAACCAGATGCAGAGAACTCCGCTGGTTGTTTGCTTTAGGGTTCGAGACTTTAAGAATCTCAAAAAAAATGATGGGTTACAGATGTTGGTGAACTTTTGAATATCATCTGTAATTCACCAAATCAGGGATTCCCGAGAGTTACACTTCGGGTATCATCCAGATTCTTGGGAAGTACCTACGGCCCCCATACAGAAACCACAGCCATGTTTGATCCTCTTCTGGCTCGCAGCTTCGACACTAAGACTCCAGTGGATGTCTTGCAGTGACCACGGCAGCTGAGTAAACTAAGGAAACCATGACTACATCAGATGGACTCGAACAAGTACGCTAAGTAAATTTGTTTAACTCGCAACTTTTGGATCACCAGAAGTTAAGTCCCATCCAAATTTTACCATCATTAACCATCATTAACCATCATTAACCATCATTAACCATCATTAACCATGATTGTTTTGAGAGTTGGGCACCAGTTGTGGCACCTGCCATGACACGGATCATGTAGACCCACCCGGGCTGATGGAGGTGGGACAGCTGAACAGCTGTGGTGAAACTGCCCAAAGTTCGAACGGCTACCAGGCGAAGACGCGAAAAGCTGCAGAGGATGAGGCAAAGCTGCGAAATCCGGTGCATCCGGGATGATTATTATATAATTATATATATACACATACATACACATACATATATATATATATGTATATCTATCTCTCTCTCTATATATATATATGTATATATATATTTGTATTATATATATATGTATACATCTACATAGACATTTTTTGGGCATTGAACATCTATTGCAATAATCATATGAATCCCCAATTCAAAGGGCTTGAAAATGCTTGGAGTTCCGCTGACAGGTCACTGCGTGTGATGGAATCTCAGAGGCAGCATCCTTTGAGGACCCGGAGTTTCCAGTGGAAAGCACTACTGCTATGCTCCCTTCCCTTGGTTTAATGGTTACTAAATGAGATAGGTGAGTTAGAACCCCCAAAAAGCGCCCGGGATAAGAGAAGGGTACCGGTCAAACCTCATGATTTCCCAGGTTTGCAGCATTTTTGTTGATCCATCCGCAATGGTCTCAGCTGTGGCCAGGATGAGGAGCCTCAGTTCCTGCAAAACAACAAGGAGGCAGCCCTCCAGGCAGTTCGCAAGAACGGCAGCCCTGGCATGGATTTGTCCCCAATTGGATCACAAGCCATTTCTGGTAAGTCATTGGGAGAGTAAACCCCGTTTGGCAGCTTTACTACATGGGGCAGATCAAAGCTGTGGCTTTGTGCCCCGTACACTGAGGTTACTCCTTGGGTTTTGTCTCAAGACAGCTGCAGAATGATCCAGAGGCACCTTCCAGTTATCTTGGGATCAAAATTGAGGATCAAAATTGAGCCATATCTTGGGTATCTTCTTCCTGGGGGCTGTTGGAATTATCCCATGAATGTCAAGAGGATTTCTTGTTGTGCAGCTGCGCTTTGCTTGATCTCCATCTTTCCATGGCTATGTTAGTCATAACCAGAGGCTAACCCTTTATTTTTGGGTGCCGAAAAGCCTCCGATGTCTTTGATCGAGGTGGTCCTGGCAGCGGTGCAGCACAACGGCCTGGCGCTGGAGAAGGCGAATTTTTCTTGCGCAGTGGTGATGGTGATATCACCACGGGGAAATATTGGTATAATAATTTACGACAAAACAAGATAAACATAGATAATTAGTATTAGTACTTTGAGCAAATGATATGATTGTACTCAATACTACTAATACTACTAGTTACTGGTTGGTGGTTTGGAACATGAATTTTATTTTTCCATATATTGGGAAGAACAATCCCAACTGACTAATATTTTTCAGAGGGATTGAAACCACCAACCAGATATAACATAATATAACTACTCGGGATATATCGAATTGTATGTGTTTATATGGTAAGAATGGGATATGTCATGGTATATCCATATCTGATGGTCATATCACCCCAGGAAGATGGGGAATTTTCTGTTTTTTTTTCAGGATGAACCGTGGGGGATTCCAATGGGATTTGACCCAGGAGTCATTGCTACTCACTATTTGGGGGGTAACCTCCCTTAATGAATAGTCAAAGTTGATCAACCCAGGTTTTTCCGTGGTTGATATTGGGAGATATACGAAAATTGCTGATGATGTTCGGACTTGGGCTTTTCTGAGATGGCAATCGTGGCGAATATATCAGCCCGGAAAAAACTGTAACCAGTGGGGACATTTTTGAAGCCCGAGAAAAACGTTAAACGCTTCGCTGGTTACAGATGGATTTAGGTCCGTTTGTCAAATTTGTCTCCAAACATTTGCAGCTTGACACCATCACCAGCACGGGTTGCTGAGGCATCCCCAGCCCTGCGAAATGACAAGGAGGCTCCGTTTGGGAAACATTTGGCAAGTCCAACTGATTTGGGGGTTCCAAGTTTCTCGATGTTTCCGCCAAAATCAGAAAACTAAGATTAGATCAGTACCATGATGACGCTCTCACCCCATCTTTGCAGATGGTTTAACCCCATAGCCTTTTTCAGGATTAGGTAGGTGATATGGGGTTTAAGAATTTGGAAGCTTCAAGTTGATGGTTGAGAAACAAAGCCACCTGACGGGGTTGATCTTCACCATCCCCATGACGATCCCAGTTACCCGGCTGAACATCATTTTGAATGGTTAACGCCTATATAAAATGATTTGCAGCAACAGGAGCAACAAGAAGAACAATAAGAAGAAGACGTCGACGAAAACGATGATGATGACGAGGATGATGATGATGATGATGAGGAGGAGGAGGAGGAGCAAAACATCTAATCCATACATCCCCATATTGTTGGCTATATCTATCCCCATATCCCCATTAATGTTGGTAAAACAATCATAAACCACCCATGACTGGGGTAAACATACCACGTATAAACATGGTGATGACTAGGGGATGGTTTATGGCATTGTTTTACCCACAGGGTTGTGTTGGAAATTTGTCGCTTCACTTTGACTGTAGTTGTGGTGAAACTTGCGTCCCATTGCGTTTTTCAACAACATCATTCCAAAATAGCCTAAAACAATGACTGCATAGATGCAGCGTCCACAATATGATTCCTAATTCTAGACCCATAAAATACACCGAACATTTAACGCAATAGATGATTGCTGGTGCACAGCGTCCCATGCTGATTTGCATAATTTTGTACTGACTTCTGTGACTTCCTGAATGCGCAGCGTCCCATTGTGATTTGTTTTCAAAGAGACGGTGCACTGACTTTCCCGACTGGGTGTACCCACACTGTTGATGGTGAAATTCCAGCCAAAAATCGCAGATCGTCCTGGCTGCGGTGACGCGAAGCCCTTGGGCCCTCGAGTTTGCTTCCCAGGACCAAAATTCATCCCACCGGTGGGTAAAACAATGCCATAAACGCACCATCCCCCAGGAAAATCACCATGTTTACAGGTGGTATGGTATGTTTACCATTCCCAGGAAAATGGGTGGTTTATGATTGTTTAAACCACTATATATGAAATATGCCAATGACTTGGCGCCCAATTTGGTCAGATCCAATAATACACCCAAAAGTTCTGCAGGGTATTTTTCATGTTTGGGGGAAGATATGATCTAGAAGATGTTTTGGGAACTTTTGGGAATATCTTGGGATATGATAGAACCAACAGAATATTTTGTTTGTCAGTAGCAGTGGGTATGGCACAAAGTTATTGACACCCCTTTTTGGGATGGACATGCCAAGAATGAGCGCATTTAAGGTGAGTTGGCAACGTCTAAAACTGGTGATGTTACCAGTTTTATTTGCTGAACAAAGTTATGGCAAACGTATCTACGTTGTGATATCCATGCCTGGTTGATATTTCCATCTGAAACGCCGTGGTTTTTCGATATGTTTCCAGATGTGGTCTCCATCTGGGGTTCCCCTCCGGCAATTGAGGATTTCCCACAAAAAATCATCATTTTCCTAGTTAAATCCCATATTGATTGGTTAGATATATCCCCACGATATCACCATTATTCCCATAGATTCATTACATTCCCATTATAATATCCCATTTATATCCCATTTGATCTGATTTTTATCACCATTCTATCACGGGAATAGCATGCATCCAGGAGATGCAAGACGATCGTCGGACGCCAAGATGTCAAGGTGGATAGGCAAGTTGGTATCTAGGATCACTGGGATTTATGGTAGTTTTAACTACAATTAGATTAGGTAGTGTCATAAACTCACTTGTAACTGGTAACTAGCGGGGCCAACCTTGAAGTATAGAGACCATACATCTACCATAAACCAGAGTTACCCTCTGGTAAACTAACATAGCTATGGAAAAAAAACAATTTTTAATGGGTAAATCAACTATTTAACTATGGCCATTTTCAACAGCTATGTTAGTTTACCAGAGGGTATGGTATCGGCGCCAACTTTTGTATCGCCAATGGGTACCTTGGATCCTCAGGTGATGTTGTGGTCGCAGCATGTCTGAAGGATGGTAATGCTCTGCAGTTCGCTTCCCAGGACGGGTCAAGACTCAACCTGCTTCAAATGGCGATCCGGGATCGCAATTTGATGGTGTCAGTATCAACCATCTACCCTCTGGTTATTTAACAGTTCGCCATGGGAAATGGCCCATAGAAATAGATGGTTTACCTATTAAAAATGGTGATTTTCCATGGCTATGTTAAATAACCAGATGGTAATTTTGATGTAATACTTGATGCCAACCAAGGGAAACTTATGAGAAGCACGACATGCAGAGAACTGGTTTGATATTTTAGAGGATCATCAGGTGAGTGATGGGACAACTTGATCCATGGGGCATCAAAGTTTGATGTCCACCCCATCATTGGTGAACATCCCCATAGGGAGATTGAACCCATGTCTGTTGGTCCAATCGTTTTGTGTTTGGTTGATAAAACATCACCTTTGTGTTTTTCTCGTATAGCCACCATGATCCTCAAAAATTATCTTCTGTTCGCCATAAGCCACTGGTTTCTGGTTGGTTTCCAGGACTTCATAACTTCATAAATCCCCAGTGATTCCTTGGAGGAGCTGCGGCGGAACAGCGAGCTGTTGATCGATTTGGCTGCCGGGATCTTGGGCTGGAAGGGGTCAGTAATAATCATGGCATAATAATCTTAGTTTGCTATTATATAATGGTATTTTTTTTTGTAATTTTCATCAAATAATGGTTTATCATCATTAACATCAATAAACCATTATGAATAGTTCTTGAACCTTGCCTTGAATATCTATCGCTCTCCCGGCTGTCTCGCTGTCGTGGCCAAGGCAAGACATGCCGAATGCCTCAAATGGGCTGGTCAAGAATTGATGTACAGCGACTTGGCGTCGTTCCAACGTTCCAAGTGTGGAAAAAGCGTTTTTTCTCAAGTTGGCCGTGCTCAAAACCCCGGTTTTGGTTCATCATTGTATACAATTGTATATTAATATCTATATCTATATCTATGTCTGTATCTATATCTAATATCTAATATCTAATACCTAATTATCTATATCTATATCTATATCTAATATCTAATATCTAATATCTATATCTATCATATTGTATCCTGTGATACTATTCAATATATTGAGGATTATCACAAAATCCATGGGGAATCGCTCAGCACATCTCCAGCATCCACCGTGGCAGCGAGGCAAACGCTTTTGGGTGCAGGCCTGGGTCCCAACGTCCGATGACATCTGAAGTGTGAGTTGTACACATGGATTATATACTAAGAATTATACTCATACATTATATATATATATTAATTATACAGACACACCTTATACTAATATACTAATATATATATATACACACCTATGTTTATATTCAGGTGTACACATATAGATATCATACACTCTACATATCATTTTTTAATGCAGATCTCCAGATGGAGCCTCCAGGTGGTGAAGCGCGACGGGCGCGCGCTGCGCTACGCGCCGCCGGTCTTCCGTAAGGATCGGGACGTGCCTCGGTGAACGGGGCTAACCAGGCGACAACCAGCGGGGCGAACGATCCTACTGGGTATATCTACCCAAAAAGGTTCCAAGAAAGCTAGATACCCTCTGGTGAACTAACATAGCAATGGAAAATGGCCATTTATAGTGAGTTTTCCCATTAAAAATGGTGATTTTCAATAGCTACGTTAAATTACCAGAGGGTATATCATGATATATCTATGACCTATTCATATCAATTCATATCCCACATGGTTGGTTTGATTATTGATATGATTGGCAATCCTGGTAGATTCACTTCTTGGCACTTTTGGTGGATAACTATATGTATACAAAACTCTATATACCCTCTGGTAAACTAACATAACTATGGAAAATCACCATTTTCAATGGGTAAATCAACTATAAATGACAATTTTCAATAGCTATGTTTGTTTACCAGAGGGTACACATATTCAGATGTGTAATTCTAGATGGATAGATCGATGGTAGGGCGCCCAGCATCCGCCTTAAGGTGGCCATCTTTGCGTTACGGAAGTACGGCCTTGTGTTGAGGCGGCAAAACGGAAATGAATGGACATGAATGGACATGAATGGAAGAAATATATGAAGGACATATGAAAACCATTGGTTAACAATGGTTAATATATCTTTCTTTCATAGAATTGGATTATGGGAAAAATTACAGGAAAGCCCTATATTTGATGGTAAAAACCATGGTTTCCTGTAGATTTTCCCTTAATCCAATCCAATGATTCTTGGACATTGATTTGTGAAGCATGTTGAGGTTTACCCTCTGATATTTCTGGGTAATTTCTGGGATTTTAAGCATTGGAAGATGGGATTGACCACCCAAAAAAAATGAGATCCAGCGCGTCACCGCATGTGAAAACATGGAAGTTGATTACCCTCAAGATGGTTGTGAACATTGAAGGAACGCCCAGTGTCTTGTTCACAAATAGAGACCCGTTTCACTCTTGGTTTACCCATTCAAAATCGATTTTGGTTCCACATGTCTTAAAAGCAATTCAAACACATCGAAAATAGGGAACCATCAAGTTGTAGAACTCTTTGCATTATTGAAAAAATTGGGTGTGGGTTTTATCCAAAATATCATCAAAATCCACTTAGAATACCTGAGTATTTTCATTATTTGGTTCACTTCTGGTAAACTCACATTGATAGGTAACTCATCAAACTAAATGGGCCATGGGCCATCTATCATAGTGTTTTGTTAGTTTATTGAAAGGTCTAAGAAATACTTTGCGATGTTTTTCCCTGATTTTTCCCACACATATCCAACAATAAACTCACCCAATCGATATGTCCAACTGGAAGCCGACTGTCCACTGGCCGCTGCTTCAGTTGCCTCTCGGAAGAGTTGCGCGACGACGAACGTGTGGTGAAAGCCGCTGTGGCGCGGTTTCTTGGTGGCTAAGGAGAATAGCCTGTGATGTCCCAAATTCCCATTGGTTGGTTGATGAAAAAAGAGGGGTTTCTTCAGGTTTAGCCCTTGAACAGGTAAATGATGATAGATGATGATAGATGGTATACCAGCTCCCGCCTCTATTTTTACCAAACGGACATTCTTGGGTATATCGGAATCGTTTATCATAGCTATGGTATAGATGGCACATTTAGTTCGATGATTCGCCCAGAAAAAAGATTTTTGTTGTCCATAGGTCTGTTAGATTAGCAGGGGTTAACCAATGACAATGAGGATAACTGTGAGAGAATTATGGTATATCTATTGGATGTTTAATCATCATGGGACGATTCTGGGATATGTAATGCGGTGTGATTCTGGGATAATAATTGGGATATTGATGTATATTATGGGATGTCATGTCCCCATTATGGGATATTACCCAGATATTGATGGGATTATTATAAGACATATAGGATTTAGCCATCAAGTCTGGATAAATATTTGGGGGAAGAAACATCTATTGATGATGAGTACTATTGGTAAAAGATTTGGTCGTGTTGGGACTTATTGGTGCCATATCTAGGTAGATCGGTAGTGCCAACACACCAATCATTGATAGCTCCTACTAGACCTATCTATCAGTATCATGATGGAATTTTGCACCATCAGCATGTTTCCATATTCTTTGTTATAGTCACTGAATCGTCAATCTGGGTAAATTATAACGACCTCACTGCGACCTCACTGGAAATCATGGTTAATAAGGGGAATCATCCCCAGATGGCCTTAATTCAGGTTAGTGGCATATTATAATTTACTCAGATCAGTATCGCCCAAAACTGGGACAAAATCAACGGTCCCGCTTTTGATGATGTCTTTGAGGTAGATTCTTGTTCGGCGCCAATCATTACCCACATCACTATCACCCAAGTCACCTTAAGTACCAGTTGAAAATCCGGAAAAAACCCTAAACGCATTCCTTTTTCATGGTGTTGAACAGCAATTACTACAGGATGGGGCCCCCCAGTTCTGTTTGTTGCTTTATAAACCATGAAATAATCCCCATGAACTAGTTAGGTATATCATGGTATATCTACCATAAACTATGGTTTTTTCAGCCACTTACAATGGATCCCCAGGCATGGCGCCGCACTTCAGTTCGCCTCGTTGCGGTTGCGGCGCAGCAAGGAGGTGGATGGGTTTACCGAACTTCAAAATGGGGTGATTTTCCATGGCAAACTGTGACAAATCACCAGGTAACCAGAATTTAAACAACAAAACCATGGTAAGAGGCTTACAAGGCTGGTAGATGATGGGATAAGATTCCTGGTAGATGATGGGATAATTTTTCAATGGACAATTTTTTTGGATACCGTCTGGTAAACTAACGGTTTGCGAACTGGAACATGGCCATAGACATAATGGATTCAGCCATTAAAAATAGTGATTTTCCATAGCTATGTTAGTTTACCAGAGGGTTACCAGAATTTGGGTAATTATGGTATGAACCGAATCGGATAAAGACACTGATACTTCATATTGAGCAAAAGATGCTTAAACATCCGATTTGGTAACCCCTACAGCTACAGCATGTAGGCCTTGCAATCCCAATCCGCGCAGATTGTGATGGAAGCAGTCTTGCAGAATGCCTCGTCGCTGAGGTCAGGGTTGGAAGGTTCAGAGCTGTCGAAGAGTCACCCGAAAATTGACTATGCTGTTGGTATTCGGCTTATATTGGGCCTATGGTATGATGCTGTCTGCATTTTGGCATGGAGATCTTTTCGGTGTTTCCACTGTAAAATCGTTAAAATCTGTAAAGTGTTGCTCCTCTTTGGGCGTTTTGCGTAGCGTTTTTGCCCCATTTTTGAATGAAGCCTAATGACAGGTTGAAAGGGAAGCGGCAACTATTTCTGGCATGACCAGAAACAAACCGCTCCTCACAAAAGAATGGTAATGTGGCAATATGTGGCAATGCAAACTGCGAACCCAATAACAAACCTCTCTATATAAATGGATATGATTTACCACCTCAGCAATTTAACTTGGTTAGCTGGAAAACCACACCATTTAGCCCAATGATTTTCTCATTTTTGTTGTCTCTTGGAAAGTCGGGAATTGTTCCATCTTCCAGCTAGCCATGTTAAATTCTGAGATGGCTCACACCCTTAGTTTTGAACCCACACTGTAGTATCATACGATTTGTGATATGTCCCAATGATCATCCCAAAAAAAAACCGCCCCCATGGTACATCCCACAACTATCCTATAAAATATTTTCATCATATCCCTTTATATTCTTATTATCACCATCCCCATTATTAATGTGCCCATAATGGAACCAACTCTCATTATTGTTAGCTATTCCCATCATTGTCATCCATTCTCCATTGGTTGTGGGTTATTTCCCAGGTACGGGACCAACAACCATATTCATTGATAAGCAAATTGCTCATTGGGAAGCTATGATTTTCCTACATCCTCAAATCCTCAACCCCCCTTATATAACAATAGATAATAAAACACAAAACACAGTAGCCATATATATTGGTTATCATTTTCCCATTGGTTATTATTGCTTATTTTCCGCATAATAATGATATGAACAATATTGTGGGAATTCATGGGAAGATAACCGTGATAATTATCGAAGGAAGTTTAGAAGTCAAACTTCCGACAATATGGGCAGATGGAAAAGCAGAGGTGGGAAGAGTCAGAGAAGAGAAGAGCAGAAGAGAGAATATCAGAGAAGAGAAAGAGTCAGAAGAAAGAAGATGCAGGTGCGCGAAAAGGTAGGAAAGTCGCGAAACACTGTGTTTTTCCAATGATTCGTGGCTCCGAGGGTCGAAGAGAGGCTCGCTTACGCGGTGGGTGCGGAGCCATCTGGTCAGATGAGAGATGAAATTGCACGCAGTTGTGGCGCGAAGCACATTTCGAAGTCAAAATGCACAAAACATTTCATGTTTGTACCATTATTGGAAGTTGAGATGTCGAAAAAGTGCACGCCGCTGCGGCGTGAAGCGCATTTCCAAGTCAGAATGCGCAAAACACACCATGCCCGGACCACTTTTAGAAGTTGAGATGTCGAAAACGTGTACCTGGTTGTGGCGCGAAGCACATTTCGAAGTCAAAATGTTAAAAGCACCACATGTTTGGACCACTTGTGGACGTTCAGATGTCGTTCGCGTGGCAAGCTTAAGGGAGTATGCACCTTGTCAAAAGTGAGCAAAACGTGAGCATTTTCAGACACGATGGCAGGCGTGGGACATTTGCAGAGGGTCTGGAAAGATGCATGTCGCGTGGCAGGCGCAGTACAAAAGACATGTTCATCAGAGATGTTAGGAGGTCAGGGCGCTGATTTCCTGAGAACGGTTGCATTTTGGAGCATCAGATCTTCAGGTTTGCTAAGATGATTTTGTATGACAGGTGCAGTATGACCTGGCATCACTTGTTCTTGGCAGGAGCAGCACTTTAGACAGATGGAGCGGAAAAATCGCAAAGCGCATCGGTACGAGGCCGTCAGCTCTGCACTCAACTTTCCGTTTTTGAAGGAAGTCTCGCAAAATTGCTTTGTTTTTGATGTTGTCAACTTGAAAAATTGAGGAAGTCTCGCAGAATTGCTTCGCTTTTGACGTTGTCAAGTTCAAAAGTTGAGGAAGTCTCGCAGAATTGCTGCAAGTTCAAAAACTGAGGAAGTCTCGCAGAATAGCTTCGTTTTCAAACTTGCAGATAGATAGATAGATAGACAGATAGATAGATAGATAGATAGATAAACAGAAAGACAAATAAACAGATATATAATATAGGTAGACAGATAGATAGACAACTGCAAATGCACTACACCACACTACAACTACAACTTCAACTACAAGAACTGCCGCTACAACCGCAACTGCAACCTCAACTACACTTCAACTACAAACTACAACCTCAACTACAATTACAACAACAACCATTACAGGTGCCACTACGACTGCAACTAGCAACTACAACTGCAACTACAACTACAACTGCCACAACTACTACAACCACATTAGAACTGCAGCTGCAGCTACAGCTGCAACAACAACAGCTACTACAACCACACTAGAACTGCAACTGCACTTCAACTACAAGTTCAACTACAAGTTCAACTTCAACTACACTACTACAACAACAATTACCTCGACACTACACTACAACTACAGCTACAGCTGCAACTACAACTACAACCACAGTTACAACTACAACTACAACTCCTACAGCTATTGCAACTACTTGCTACAATTGAGACAATTACAATTTCAACTACACTTCAACTACACTGCAGCTACAGCTACACTACAACCACAACTACAACATTACAACTTCAACGACATCAACTACACCACACTACATCCAGGAGTTGTGAGTGAGGTGGCCGCTGCAACCATTGCAACCACTCCAAAAAGCACAGCTCCAACCAGCTTTCAGTCCATCAGTGGATTCGCTCTGCCATCCATGCATCACAACAACTGACCTCTCCTATAGTGTCCTATCATTGAAACTTCCGCCACCGACTTGTGCGGTACTACTGGTAACGGGAATAATGATATCAATTATCGATATTAGCAGTTCATGTGGAACATAATTCATAACCATGGTTGATAACCATGTTCCTGATTGGTAATTAATTATATCCTACTGACTATGGTTTTTGTTTCTTAGTAAAGTCCCATACTACCTCTGATGAATTCATATCATTTCCATAGGTCATTCCCATATTTCATATCCCCATTTACATTCCCATTATTCATCAAATTTCTTCCCATATACCTCATATTCCCACTATTAATCGAGATTATTCATGTTTATGGGTCGTTTTTCCCAATTAATCTATTCCCAAAACAACCTATAGATATGAATAATCCATAAATATATATGGGAATTCATCGTTTTTATCCATATTAATTATCCCAATTCATCGTTTTTCCCAGGTATGTAATTAACCAGGTATGTAATTTTAAAAATCCCATATATCACCCATATAATAAATCCATATATATATATATACATATATTATATCAATTTCCCATGATGTTCCCACCGATTCCCAGGTACGCGGCCCCGGAGTACCGCACCGATCCGGAGGCCATGGCGGCCCATGGCTTCTCCGAGGCCGAGCGGCCCATGGCGGCGATGGTTTTTTGGTGTCATGGGGAATTCATGGGATATGAACGGAATATGAATGGGGATATTCACAATCTACAGGATGGTGATATGGGGATATTCACAATCTATCTATCTATCCAATCTAATCCAATCTAATCCAATCCAATCCAATCTAATCCAATCTAATCCAATCCAATCCAATCTAATCCAATCTAATCCAATCTAATCCAATCCAATCCAATCTAATCCAATCTAATCCAATCCAATCTAATCCAATCTAATCCAATCTAATCCAATCTAATCCAATCTAATCCAATCTAATCCAATCCAATCTAATCCAATCTAATCCAATCTAATCCAATCTAATCCAACCTAATCCAACCTAATCCAATCTAATCCAATCTAATCCAATCTAATCCAATCTAATCCAATCCAATCTAATCCAATCCAATCCAATCTAATCACATCCAATCCAATCTAATCCAATCTAATCCAATCCAATCCAATCTAATCCAATCTAATCCAATCCAATCCAATCTAATCCAATCTAATCCAATCTAATCCAATCTAATCCAATCCAATCCAATCTAATCCAATCTAAGCCAATCTAATCCAACCCAATCCAATCTAATCCAATCTAATCCAATCTAATCCAATCCAATCCAATCCAATCTAATCCAATCTAATCCAATCCATCCAATCTAATCCAATCTAACCCAATCCAATCTATCCATCTAATCCAATTAATCCAATCCATCTAATCCAATCCAATCCAATCTAATCCAATCTAATCCAATCTAATCCAATCCAATCCAATCCAATCTAATCCAATCTAATCCAATCTAATCCAATCTAATCCAATCTAATCCAATCTAATCCAATCCAATCTAATCCAATCTAATCCAATCTAATCCAATCCAATCCAATCTAATCCAATCTAACCCAACCTAATCCAATCCAATCCAATCTAATCCAATCTAATCCAATCTAATCCAATCCAATCCAATCTAATCCAATCCAATCCAATCTAATCCAATCTAATCCAATCTAATCCAATCTAATCCAATCTAATCCAATCCAATCCAATCTAATCCAATCTAATCCAATCTAATCCAATCCAATCTAATCCAATCTAATCCAATCCAATCTAATCCAATCTAATCCAATCTAATCCAATCCAATCCAACCCAATCTAATCCAATCTAATCCAATCCAATCCAATCTAATCCAATCTAATCCAATCTAATCCAATCCAATCCAACCCAATCTAATCCAATCCAATCCAATCCAATCTAATCCAATCTAATCCAATCCAATCTAATCCAATCTAATCCAATCCAATCTAATCCAATCTAATCCAATCCAATCCAGTCTAATCCAATCTAATCCAACCTAATCCAATCCAATCCAATCTAATCCAATCTAATCCAATCCAATCTAATCCAATCTAATCCAATCTAATCCAATCCAATCCAATCTAATCCAATCCAATCTAATCCAATCTAATCCAATCTAATCCAATCTAATCCAATCTAATCCAATCTAATCCAATCCAATCCAATCTAATCCAATCTAATCCAATCTAATCCAATCCAATCTAATCCAATCTAATCCAATCCAATCTAATCCAATCTAATCTAATCTAATCTAATCTATCTATTTACCTATCATTCATATTTATGGGATATTCAGGGCGTTTTCCCGGGTTTAAAGAAATCAAAAACGGTGGTTTGTGATGGGATATGTATGGGGATATTTTACAGCTAACCAGCTGTAATCAATCCCATCCCCCTAAATATATAATAGGGTATAATGGGAGATATATACGTAACGATATAGATATGATGAAACAATATAATCCCATTCCCGCTTCAAGTTAAGCACCCCCCAGAGCCACCATGGTTCACTAGGGGGATATTTATGGGTATTTAGGACCATGGGTGTTTAATCTGACTGGGGGATGGGATGCTATGTGATGCCGTTGTGTTGCGTTCCCAGGAGAGGGCCAAGAATGGCAAATAGGCACGGCTCCAAGCTGCTGACACTGGAAAATTGCTCATCTTGTCCTGGATGTTTGGGAGGGTTTTCCCCATGTCTAGCTGGAGTTGTGTTGATGGCTCAGTTGTGGATTATTTTTTGATTTAGATTGGTGGGATTTATTGCCATAGATGATGATTGGATTGTGAAATAAAGGCTATTGCTAATATTGCTGGGAAAATCATTGCTCTGGATCATTAGAATCCGCAAGAATAAGACAGTAGTTTCAGAATTCTTATCTGCAGGTTTTGCGACTCCTTCCCAACTAATTCAGTGGATTGATCTGCCAAAATTTTCTCTTCACAATTGCTGAGGCGAGTGGCCACGCAATGATTCTCCTGTCAGTTTCACCAGAGGATAAACCGTTTGCACAGCTGCTCAGCATGACAAAGTCAGCTGAAAAGACGACCGGGTCTCCGCGCAAAAAGAGAGCCCAAAGTCTGAGAGTTTCATGAGATCTTTTCTGTGAAGAGCTGGAAATACCCAAAAAGGCCATCCAAATGATGGGAAATGATGATCCATTGTAAACTCTGTGTTGAAAACACCCATAGATCTCTCGATGTGGCCAACTGGTCCCCAAAATGCTTGTAAATTCTGCGATAATGTTAGCATTATGTAATTTCCATGTCCATCAATGGTCCATAATTGGTATAGCATGTGTCCATTATGCTATACAATGTTAGCATCTTGGGATATCACTACTCTCAACGAGAAAAACAACCATGTGGCTGTGGCGCAAGACGATTGACAGAGGATTGGAGTGCTCAATACATTGCGAACCAGTTGAGCAGCCCCTTGTTTTAATTCCCGAAGTTTGGATCCATGATAAGCCAATAGATGGTCCTATCCTAATTGCTCCCAATTTGAAGGACTCATCTCCAACTAAGAAAGGACTGAGTGGAATCATCGCTTCTTTTGACTAGTTATTCCATTTTTCATTCCTTTGTTGGTCCAGAAAATTCAAGACTTGGTTATTTTGACTTCTCGTGATAGCTTAATCCCCAAAAAGCCGAGACAGTCTTTGCCTACGACTTTCTGGTGGCTTTTTAGGTGTTCAGGCTTTGAAATTGACCAATCTCTGCAAAAAAAGCTCTTGGCTGGTTAGTCAAATTTCTCAAAAGAGTAAGTCGTACTAAACTGTCCCGAAACTATCCATCCAGTTTCATTCCCCCTATGTTTCAAAAAGCGGAAATTCTCATGTGTTCTCCACATCTTCCTAGAATCATTGCATTCCATGTCTCCTCTATTTTCCAATGGTATCACCATGATTTCGATGAAAAATGCCCATCAAAAACGTCAGTTCCCCCTATTTTTTTATAATATGTTTGATGGTAGAAAATTAAAAAAAATCAATTTATCCCATTTATCTCCCATTATTCTGCCACAATCTGATATACAATGGTAATTGATACAATACACCCCATGAATATCCTTTTGATCTATGGGTGAAAACGTGAATTTCCCCTAAAATCAATCTTCTAAACTATAATATACTATCCCATTCTCCCCACAAATATTCTATTCTGATAGTATTGGGATACCATGCTATATTCGTATTATTCCATCTGCAACCCATGGTAATCTCAGTTTTTCATACACAATGGAAATTCCTAAAATATACCAATAGATTGAGTAAATTATACCCATATTGGGGCAATACCATGTAATATCCATATGAATACTATGAATACCCATATTATCCATGAATCTCCCATAGGGTATATGGGTAATTCTACGATATACCATATTTTATCCATATGTGATACCCATATTTATGTATGTATATATAATTATCAATATGGAAATATGGGTACCATGTATGGATATGAAATATTACCATAATTATCAATATATCACGTGGAGAATTATATATATATATATCAATATCAATACCATGTACCCTCCGGTAAACTAACATAGCTATGGAAAATAACATATTTATAGTTGATTTACCTGTTGCAAGTGGTGATTTCAATAGTTATATTAGTTTACCAGAGGGTATTAATATCATGATTTACCTCACAATATATCCCTTTTTTTTTCCCATTATATAAATCTGATTATTTGGACATATATATATATATATATACACACCCTCTGGTTATTTAACATAGCCATGGAAAATCTCCATTTTTAAGTTCGGTAAACCATCTATTTCTATGCCATCTATACCATAGCGAACTGTTAAATAACCAGATGGTATATATAGATATCAATCAATACCTCATAGATTGGATGATGGGAAAATTTACAGGAAACCCATATATTTAGTGGAAAAAAAACCATGGTTTCCGGTTAAGATTTTCCCTTAAACTAATCCATTGAATATCAATATCATGTAATATCCAGCCCCGAAGATCCCGTGGTACCGCCAGGTGCGCTTCACGGTGCAACGCAGCGCGGCGGCCATGCGCGATGGCCGCGGCGGCGCAGCGTCCGTGGGACCCCCAGCGATGTGGACCGGTGGACGAAAACGATGGGGAAAATGCTGGGAAAAATATGAAAAAAAACGGGAAAAATTGAGATAAACACAGGAAAACCATGGGAAAAAACATGGGAAAAATTGGGAAAAACTCTGGAAAAACTGGGAAAACACTGGAACAACTCGGAAAAACACGGGAAAAACCTTGGGAAAAACTGGAGAATTCTTGAATTTATAAGTGAGTTTCCAATGAATTTCCCATTGGTTTTGAGATTTTCAAGAGCCATGTTTGATTACCAGAGGAAGTGATGTTGTCTTTTCAAAATAAATTGTCTGATACTTGATGATAGTCTGTTGATGATGTCCATCTTCATTCATGGTTGTTTAACCTGGAGTTTTTACCATGAAGAAGGGGTGTTTTTCTGCAAACATCAGGCGTTGCACCATGTTGGCCACAGGCTTTACCCAAAGGAATGGTAGGGATCTCGTCCAAAAAACGTTTTGGGTTTTACCAAAGAAATTTAGCCAACTAGGAATTTCAACCACAGTGGATTTCATTTAGCCAACCAGAACCAAGTAGCTGCGAGACTCGGAAATTCAGGACTTGACAATGGATGCAACCAAGAGAAGTAAGGGCATCACCAAGGGTGTAGATATCATGCCAAAGGGACTGGGGAATAAACTCATGGCCACGGAGAAACTTATGGGGCGGAGACTGCAAGATGGTGAACAAGAAAAAGGTGCAAAATCTGGCCCCGTGCTGCGCTTAGAAAGCCGCATGAGCTGCGCTTAGGTGCAGCAAGCGCCGCCACAGCTGTCACAGGTGCCTGGGGTCCTTCCATGATTCGGTTGCACCAGCAACAGCTAACAATATGCCATATTCATATATGGATAGATAGATACATGCAGATAAATACAGATAGATGGATAGATGGATTGAAAGATAGGTAGGTAGATGGGTAGATAGGTAGATAGGTAGGTAGGTAGGTAGGTAGATAGGTAGGTAGGTAGGTAGATAGGTAGGTGGGTAGATAGGTAGATAGGTAGATAGGCAGATAGGTAGATAGGTAGATAGGTAGGTAGGATAGGTAGATAGGTAGGTAGGTAGGTAGGTAGATAGGTAGATAGGTAGATAGGTAGATAGGTAGATAGGTAGATAGGTAGATAGGTAGATAGGTAGATAGGTAGATAGGTAGATAGGTAGAAAGGTAGAAAGGTAGATAGGTAGATAGGTAGATAGGTAGGTAGGTAGATAGGTAGATAGGTAGATAGGTAGATAGGTAGATAGGTAGAAAGGTAGAAAGGTAGATAGGTAGATAGGTAGATAGGTAGGTAGGTAGATAGGTAGATAGGTAGATAGGTAGGTAGGTAGGTAGGTACGTAGGTAGATAGGTAGATAGGTAGATAGGTAGATAGGTAGATAGGTAGATAGGTAGATAGGATAGGTAGATAGGATAGGTAGATAGGTAGATATATATATATATACATAGGTACATAGGTGCACAGATATAGATATATACTTATAGTTGTAGATTATTGTTCTTATACATCATAAGTTGTTCTGCCAGGCTGAGATTGACAACTGGCTCCAGAGTCGAGGACAACATCCTCCAGCCCAGTGCCTCGGCAGATTGGCAAAACCTATGGGGAAAGCCATGAGAAAACCATGGGATATGCCAAAGACCATGGGGAAATCCTTGAAATCCTTCAGATTTATAATATGATATATGGTTATTACATATGAATAAAATTTGGTATAACTCCAGATAGTGAAGTATGGTTTTTACCAAATTTTTTATTTCATTTGTTGATCAACCAATCTGGGCTTCACGGATCTCGAGATTGGTTTGATATCTGAGAAACGCCAGGACCAGTGTACCGAGCGTGCCCAATATGGCTCCTGGCAACTGGGTACCTGAGCTCAGAGGATTTGGATGGTTTACCTATACAAATTGTACATAACATCCCAATAGTATGACTAAGACTAAGTAATAATATGGTTTGGAAAAGGACTTACTGGTGCTAAACGCAGGGAATGAGGGAATGATCCATAATCACTGGTAATAATCATCCCAGCAACCCCCAGCAACCCCCAGCAACCCATCCATTCCCTACGTAAAACGCACCAGTAAGAGGTTCAGTCTGTGTGTTTGTAGAATATCATAGTGAACATAGGATACACATGATACATCCATAGTATGGCACCCTGGCAACACGTTACGTGGGGATCTTCGAGGCCAAGCACCTGGCGACCTCGCCCATGCAGGAGATGGCTGAGGGTTCCTGTTGGGATATGATCATTTTTGTTTATTAATCCACATGACACAATACATATGGGATATGTTATCCATATTTTAGAAAAAATATCTTGGTTTTTCCTGGTTAAAATGGGTTGGTGAAAGCTATTGGTTGCCACCATGGGATGTTTCATGAACCCGTTTATAAAAGGGGATGAAACTCACCAGTTAAGGGGTCTTTCAACCACAACTTCTGGGTTGACGTCGAAGATAGGCTGCCGAGCCAATGGCGATTAATCAGGACAGAGGTCAAGTGGGTCCTGTGGGTCCTGTGGGTCCTGGAGTCCCGTGCGCCACTTAGTGGCGCATCCGAGGTCAAATCGAAGGATTAATCATTAAGAAAAGCAATTAGACCAATTACAAATGGAGACTTCTGGGGGGACAAGATCATTTTTATCTAATCCATTCTAATCCGAATCAAGACCATTCTAATCAGAATATATATCTACATGTCTACATGAAAAACAATAAATGATCCAAATCCAAAGAGCGGAGCAGCTTTTCGGAGACCTTCTCAGGCCTCTTCCGTATGGACACCGAGTGACCCAGGCGCTGGCATGACACATGGCCAAGACATGGTAAATCTGGAAACATCTGGCTCTGAAATGCTTTGAACATGCCATAAAACCCTTCAAAAAAGTCTATAACATACCAATAAAATCGGGATTCAAGGGCTCAAGATCTCAATTTTTATGGTCAGCCG